ATGTGAATCATGTTTTGTATATTTGCAATTATAAGCAGCATTGCACTGAAACAGATAACAGATTCCCATAGGTAATTCATAGGTGCATGGGTATCATCCAGTTGGTTATATGTAATCAGAGATGTGCAAAAAAAAGGGGGGGGGGGGCAGGGTTCCTTGTATGGAACTTTTCAGTATTCTCTGGAATAGAGGCTTTAGCACACAACTGTAGTTAATGTCATATAAATTATTCTGTACGTGAAGAAGAAGAAAATGTGCTTGTTTACTCCGTTGGTGTAATCTGTAATGGAATCTTCACTGTCTTTGCTGAGCTGTTCTTACGAGTTTTTAATGTAGTGGAGAAAATAAGCCTAACAAAACAAAATGGCGATTGCACATCCCGCAAGTCTTTTGGATATGACCATGGTCAAACCCAGTTCATCTCTTTCTCAATTCCCACCATGCCCAAACTGACTCCCGTCCCAGATACACCTCTTTGCTATTCCACCTAAATCAAATAGAAGCTTCCTCACCAGTTGCAATCTAATCTAGCAGTTCCCATTATCTAGCAGTTAGATACCTCCACATCCATATCTCCTGTAAAAATGAACATCTGCCCTCCTGAAAGGCCCATTTTGCCTAACAGTAGGGAAAACTCCAGATACACTGACAAATACCTCCTTGGGTTTCCCAGACTGTCCAGCCAATCAGATCTCTAGGATTTCCCATTTTATAGAAGCCCTCAACTTCTAAAAAAATCTTTTTTTTTCCATTGTCCAGGATCCTTCTTTTTTTTTATAAAGCAGATACCCAACACTTTTTGCAATAAACATGATTCTTCTCCTCAGTGCTGTACTCTTTCTTCGTACTGAATTCATGACAATCCTATAGATGCTTCAGCTATTTTCGAACAGCAGGTCTTCCATGCTTCTAGCAACCTATCAGATATCTTTTTTGAACCGCTTATAGCAAATAAATGCTGGAAAGGAGCAAGACACTTGTTAAAAGAGGACCTTTGTTTGCTATATATGTCTGGATGCAGCAGCAGCATATAGACAGTGTCAGTCAGGGATGGTTTTAATCAATTCTTATCAAGCATTCTGCATGCACCCTTGTCCTCTCACAGAAAGTATGGGATAATAATTTTTTTTTAAACTTAGCTGTCTTGGAAAGATCTATAATTAAATAACAATATATTAACTGATGGAAATCAAGTACACAACTTTTTTCCCCCATGCATGTCTGTACACTGAGTTACTCAGAATCTATAACATTTATTTTGTTAAACCAATGTTTTTAAATGATTATGAGATTTTGGCTCTTCCAGAACTCATCTTCATAATGATTGAAGAGGAACATATGAGAAAAAGAGCTTTTGATGATTTTGCATCATGTCTTATTGTAGTTTTAAATGCAGTGCAGGAGAGTGCCTAGACACAGTGGTGGGTTTCAAAAAAATTTCCTACCGGTTTGGTGTGAGTGCACACTTGGCACGTGCATGTACACTTTGCGTGCTCACGGGCCAAATGTGTGATCTGCACACACGCAGCATTTGCAGCTCACATTCTGCTGCAAGCCATGTGTGTAAAACAGCTGACACGCTGCAATTGGCTGTGTCATGCGAAGCAGCTGAAGTTGAAAAGCAGGAAATAAAGGTAAGAATAGAGCTGGGACAGGCAGGGGGCCCCAGCAGCTGATTGTCTGAGCGAACCGGTTCCCTCACAGATGATCCTTGGAGTTACTGGTTCTGTCGAACCGGGCCGAACCGTTAGAATACTACCACTGCCTAGACATAAACTAGGGTCACATCAGATTTATAAGTGGCATTTGATTGCACCAAAGACTGTCTCAACATTTGCTGGGGGAAAAGGGGGAAGCTAATAATAACTGGATGCCTGATTTCGAAATATAAAGTCCATCTGAAACTGCTATTGCAGTTAAAAGGCACTTCTGATAGATGGAAGAGAACAAAGAACCAATTATTAATAAGATACTGAGTCTTCCAGAACAGACACATGAAAATGTGTGTAAAGTTTTCATCTAAAATATGGAGTGGTGATTGGGTGGGAAAATAAATAAGTACAAGTCTGAACCCACTAGGCTGCTGTTACAAATAAAACTTTAGCATTTAGACTTATATACCGCTTCATAGTGCTTTTACACCCTGTCTAAGCAGTTTATAGAGTCAGCATATTGCCCCCAACAATCTGGCTCTTTATTTTACTGACCTCGGAAGGATGGAAGACTTGAGTCAACCTTCAGCTAGTCAGAATTGAACTGCTGGCAGGGAGCAGGGAGTTAGCCTGCAATACTTTATTCTAACTGCACCACCATGGCTCAACATTAGGAACTTAGTATCAAATTATGCATATTATATTGTTCTGAAAGAAATACAATGGTATTTTTAAGGGTTATAATAGGACAGGTGGATTAACATTAATAAGGGAAAGCATTCCAAGAGATGAGGCAAATATTCTTGACAATATCTGTTTTTAAGATTTTTGCCTAAGTTCCATGGCCATATTTCAAGATTATACAAGTATTCCTTCTGTTGCCCTTCTTCCTATATCTTCTAAGTATATCCTCAAAGGTCATGCATGTCCCCCACAATAAGTGATCAAGAGTGAAAAGGAACATTTTTCCTCTTTAGCAGAAGTAATACTTTAGTAGATAACTATAATTATGAAAAAAAAATTGTTTCCTAGGATTTATAAAGGCCCTTATTACTGAGTTATGGGGTGTTCTGGAGTGTGGAAGAGATGATGTCCGAATGACTCACCCTAGACCAACACCAGTAGATCCAATTGACCGAAGCTGTCAAAAGGTAAAATTATTTATTTTTTCTCTTCACAAAGACTTATGTGAATGTTTAGTCTGAATATATATTATGTATAATGTTTTTTTGAGGAAAGCCTTGGGTAGTTTGACATTTCTAATTTTCTTAATTTGATACTAGGACATCAAAAGTTACTAGTCCATGTATGAGCCTCATTTCATTAGGATTCTTTCCATAAAACTGAAAAGCATATAAACTAACTTCTTTTTAAGTATTGGGTTTTAATCTTTGTCCATTGCCCAGAGTCACTTCTGAGAGATAGGTGATCATATAAATTATGTAAATGAACAATTAAATAAATCAGTTAACTCAAAAATATTCAGTTCAGGGTTCATGTTTTCAAAGTATATTAAGAATATCAGAATATTAATATTAAGGTGTAGAAACAAAATTGTTTCAAGAAGAATTATGTGTAATCACTTCAGGATATTTTTAGCTTCAGTATGTATCAGTCAATCCTGTTTTATTATCTCAGCCAGAAGCCATAATACCAAATGCCTTTACTAACAACTACAAATAAAAACAATTATCCAGATAAAAATGATTTCCATATAAAATCATGATTGCTTTTTGTTTTTACAAATATTCATCACTCAGCAAATAATACGTTCTTTGTTAGAATGTAAACAAGCATACTTTGCAAAGTAATATTAAATGACTACTGCGGTAAAACGAAATTGCTGTTGCTTTGTGAAGCATCAAGTTCTTTCCTGCATTCTATTACAAGCCTCACTTTTTATTTGTATGCAATACAGCAATAATTTTCTTCACTGATTTTTATTTGGCCAGCTTCTATGTTGAGTGTAAGAATATGTATATTTTGCTTCATTTTGTTTTTAAATTGGTTCTGCAAGCTGAGTAAAAAGAGTTTGGTTAGTTTATTATGTCCTTAGACTGTAAGAGTTCTGGAACAGTCCATGAGGAAGGGAGGGAGGGAGGGAGGGAGGAAAGGAAGGAATGGAAGGAAGGAAGGAAGGAAGGAAGGAAGGAAGGAAGGAAGGAAGAAAGAAAAGACAGACAATACATGGCCTCTTGGTGGCATTTGCCACCCAAGGAGCAAATAAGTGTTATATGCTGTCAGTTTTTGTCAGTGTTATTACCAGTATAAAAGAGTGTTTAGTCCTCTTTAGTTGAGACAAGAGGTAGCTGGATGCACCAACATTCAAACTTTGGCAGCCTCTGTTGTTACTGTTCTTCATTTACTACCTAATTGCAAAGTTGGCTTTAAATACTTGATCTACCATCCATTTAAGTTTTCCTTCTAATTGGTAAATTTAATTTGAGAGCCTGGACTTCAGAAATTGGGAAATGAAATGCTCCTGACCAGATTTACAGTTTAGAGGTTCTTCTGGAACCAATCTTGATATTAGATTGGCACATGTTGGTAAGGAGGGCATTTATTACCAGTTGCATCTATTTGTGGATGGGCTGAATGCTAGACCTGGTGTTACATATACTAGTAACCTCAATTTACAATCCATTCTTCATGGGATAGCCCTGGAAGATGTATTTATCTGTCTATATTTTAAACAAATTATGAGGCCTCCCACAGAAGTGATTCCGGGCAGCATAGAAAATTAAAGCCAACAATTAAAACATAATAATTGCCCAGTTTCACACACAGCAGATTCCAGTTTATAGTCAGTCAGGAGAACGTAACCTCCCAATATTAGGGAAGGTTAATGAACACCACCACCACCACCACCACCACCACCACCCCCCGTCTGGGGGAAATTGTATGGAATGTGGCATCTAGATTGAGTTGTACTTTCATAGTCCCTGTGTTGAAACAGCAAAGTGGGTTATTCTTTGCTTTTCAAGCTCACTAAAATCTTATATGTCTTGGACCCAGATTACTTAGAAGACTGCCAGAACTAGGGATGGGAAACCTTAGCCCTTTTATGACTTGTGGACTTCAACTCCCAGAATTCCTGAGCCAGCATGGGCCTCATAAAAAGGCTAAGGTTCCCCACCCCTGGCCTAAACCATGCAGCCTGCCACCTTTCCTACCTTTTCAGGAGGGTATGTTTTTGCAGGTCTACTGCCATACTCAACAGTTAATTCTGCTAACTCAACGGCTAATTTTGTTTTTTATATAGCAGGCCTTGAATATAGAATGGCTTGCTGATGAAGCCGAGACTGGTTTTGTCATTACAATTAAGGGAGTATTTCTTATCCAGGTCTTTTGAAGATATTTTAACCAGATTTTTATTCTTTGGGAGGGGTGGCGTTGTTATATTTTCATGCTTGTGTGTCCCTTATATGAAGTGACCAGCTTTTTAAAAATCTGTTTTAATTTTAGGAATTTGCATTAATTTCAGAAAGTTAGACTTCTTGTTGCCTGATTGGATTCCTCCTACTCTATAATCCATGGAAGGCACCCTGTGAATAATTAATTCATTGATAAATAATTACCCATTGTTAGTCTTGCTCTTTTTTCTTTTTGCTGTATGTGTGTCTCAAAAGCTTTAATTGAAACTAAGAAGCCAAAAGTGGTGTGATAAAATTTTGAATATATTATATATTTTCCCCAAAGTAAATGGTAATGCTCATGTAACAAAATCTTTAAATGAATCTCCATTATTATTGTCCTGTCAACTATACTACTATCCTCAGTTTTTCCTAGCACTGATAAATTTGCTGTCCTGCCCTGCTGTTTATGAACTGATAGGTGATCAAGAGATACCTAATAAAGCAGAGTATTCTCTTCGTGAAGTTCCTACAGATGTTGTTGTAAGTAGTGTTTTTTCTTATCCTCTTAAAAAGATACTTGGAATGATTCTTTTGCAAGGAATGATAAAAATATAATGTTTTGATTTTCTACTACATTGGCAATAAATCTTGAATATATTTTTGGTAGTTTTATTACATGCAGCATGAGGGCAGTCTGTGTGCAGATTACACTTATACTCTTTTCCATAATCATAGCAAAAATTTAATTTGCAAAAGCTACCTTCTTTTGTGTTGGTACAAATATGCCACCTAAATTGCAGGTATAATTATGGTAAGAAGTTATTTATATAATATAAATCATATATGTGAGGAAGCCTGTATAACTAAATAAATATGCTGTATAACTACTTTCCAGCTAGAGTTAGAAATCCTTGGTTTCTTTTCATTGGTCTTGGCAGGCCAAAAATTGTGATTTTAGTTTACTTTTTGAAGGGTAAAGAAGTGTCTGCTTGAAACTTGTGCTTTGGTCATAGGTAACTCAGCTGGAAAGGTCTTTCACATTTTTCTTTTTTTAAAAAAGCAGCTTTATTTCTCGACCTAATATCAGAAGGGAATTTGTGTGTGTCTGTGTGTGGGTGTGTGAATGTGTGTGTGTATCAGACTGTGTATCATCTATTAATCTGTCATCTATATCCATCTGTTTGTCTGTCTATTTAATATGTCTGTCTGTCTGTCTGTCTGTATCTATCTATCCATCTATCAATCTATCTATTAAAGCCTAGAACATCTAAAGGTATTTTCATGAAGTATTCATATACTTTAAACACAGCTTTTAAAGACTAACAGCAACTGAAGCATTGACGATCAAAAGTTAGTAAAACCAGTTTTTGTATTTCAGGATATAATTGACAGGCTTATAGTTGTTAACACTGAAGCTAAAATCCATTCATTATTCAACTATGAGCAGTCTCATATCTTTGGACTGAGGTAAGATGCTTTCTTATCTGATTTATTTAACAAGGTAAAATGTATAACTTTTTCTCCTTCTTGTTATTTTTTATTGCCAGTGCCAATTAAAATGAATTCTCAAGAATCCAGGCAAAGTGAGAAGGAATATGTAGACAAGTAAAAAAATCTCACATTGATATATAATATGCATATAACTATGATATTCAGTATTTGATTAGCTAGAAATACACAGCCAGCAAGTATTTCATTTTCTGAGAGATCTCTTTTCGGAGCCAGATTCTTCTGAGACTTGCAGAATCATGATCTGAGAATGGAACTTTGTGTGACTGCCTTTTTCTCATTTTAATTACAAGCTTTCAGATCGTAGGTATTGTCCTTGGATGTATTTCTCAAATCCTTCTGCATTTCTCAATCCTTCAACATAACCTACATATCATGCCATACACTTGGAAAATAGATCACAACATGCACCTCAGCCTCTTGCAGCTGATGTCAATGTTGTGTAGGCCAGATGTTTTCTCTAATAGGCATGAGGATTTATAAATCTTACTAATGTCTAAGATGTCCATTTTCTGCTTAAAGTTGGCTACACCTAAGTGAACAATGTGTTCTCTTCTTAGAAGAACACAGGAGACACACGTTCAGATACCTGGCAATGCTGCTTAATCACTGCAATTGTCTAGGGTGTTTGTTTCACAAAATCGTTATCTGCAGTATTATGAAGGAACATGGGAATATGCATTTCTTCTTTCATACTGCTTATCTTTTCCCCAAAGCTACCATTTTGAGGGATGGCTGCGCTTGGGAGAATTTGCAGCAGTTGTATAGATAGATGCCTGTTTGATAAGATTGCTGGGGAGTCTTTAAAAAAAAAAAAGATTTCCCCATAGATTTCAGTTCAGAAATCAGCAGTTTCCCAGTCTCTCTGACAGCAGTTCATTAACACTCTTGAGAATGTGTAGCATTTCCCCAAAGTAAGTAACTCAGCATGTTCTCAAGTAAATGTGCTAAAGTAATTGTCATTCAGTTATATATACATGTCCTTTCTGAGCATAATGATAAGCCCCAAGTTAATTTTAGCTTTTGATTTGTACCTGAAGTGCCACAAGGCTTTCTCGGTGCATAAGGATTTTAAATTGGATTCTCTGTTTTGAAGATGCATTATCTGGATTAAAACCATTATTCTCTTCCAGTAATCTTGCAACCCGTCAAGACTAGTTATTAATATAGTTGTTTTAGTTCAATCCCTATATCAGATATTTTATTGTTGGTCTTCGTTGCCTCTCTTAGGAGAGCACACAGTATGGAGAGTTGCTGCAAGGGAGTTGCAGACGGTACTTTATTTGTGCTCCCATGAGTTTGAAAACACATTTTTGGAATTGAAACAGAACCGCTGTGTGGCTTTAATAATCAGCCATCTTATTACCTCTATTTTTGTTTTATGTTTGTTGGAAATTCTACTGCAGTCGCTCCGTTTTTATTTAAAAAAACAAAGCAAGTGTGATTTATTCTAGTTTCCAAATTTAAGTGAACTTTTAAATATATTTTATATAACATCTTTTCCAGTAGTTCTGAAAAGCATTTAAAATACCCTAGAAAATTGATAGGTTGTCACTTTTATTGATAATATACTAATCATGCAATATGCTGGACTTTAATGAATAACATTCTATTAGTTTCTCATTTGATTTTTCTCTAAACAGCATTTATGAGGGGAAAATATGCCTCTGAATACATATAACCAAGAATGAAATAAAGCACCTGTTACTTACTAAAATTGAGAGAATTTAACAAAAATGAATTTAGAACAGCATAATAATTAGAAATGGTTATCAACAATTTTCTTGGTATTTAAATTATACTAGTGATTTAATTTGCCTACAATTTTTGTACCCTGCTCCAGTCCAAAGACCCTGTTATTCAATGTTATTTACAGCAACATATTAAAATTGTTAACACACCCCAATGAGCACCCATAAACTATTAAAAGCATAGTGGAATAATGTTGTTTTAATTGCTTTATGGAGAGCCAAGAGTCCACAAACCATTGAAGAAAACTATCTAACCCATACTCCATGTTATTCTTGTGGGTGGGTTAATGCCAATATTTACGATTTATTTTTGATGCAATCGATTAAATTGTCAAAGATATTATGGCTGTAAAAAGCCATTGATGCATTTTTTGTTAAAGTTTGCACTGATTCCTGAGTACACCATAGCACTGTTTTCCCCAAAAACGTGATTTGTTTTAAATAATTCATACTTAGCTTTTCAGAGTTGAAACATTATAAAATGACATGGTCATAAGTCATATACCTATGAGGGATTATATTTGTTGCATAAATATTTACATACACATTGAACACCTAAATATTTATTAAGCTTACAATATCACTCCTTGAGATATACCAACAAATGAATGATGTTTCTGAAGTTTATGGAAAATAACTTTATGAATAAAACATAAAACATGTTGTTAGGACAAAAATAGTTATTTTTGTATTGCCTGTAGTAGCTTTGTGCTATTATTTACACAGAAACTTAGATATACAAGATCTCAAAGTTCGACTTGGCTCCTTGCAGTTACTTGGGCATGTCCATACAATTTTCTAGGCAGCATTTTCAAAATTTTGCCATTTTTAGCAGCAAACAAATAAGAAGAAAAATAATCTATTGCTATTTTCCCATGAAAATAGGTTCTTAGAAAAATAGCATAGCTAAGATCAAGCTCTATGATACACATTAAAGTGATTTTTTTTGAATTTTCAAAAAAGAATAAAGATTGCTTCCAGTAACCATCTCTTCCCAGTGGCCTGCAGAAACTAGAAAAGTTTTTGTTCCATAAAATAATAAGAAGTCCTTTCCTTTCCTTATCCATTTTTCTCAAAGATATGGGTAACACATTTAAAAATTGTTCAGTTTGGGGTTGCACAATTTCTTTTTTTTTTTTCACCTGATTTTGATTGATTTAAAAACTAGAATTGTAGCAGCACCAGATTTCTGTAGCTACATAGAGTTGGCTAAAGTTACTCAGGTCACCTCCGCTTTTAATTAAAAGCTTTCTACTTGCAGGTTCTATTCTTTTTACAGTTTTCTATACTACACATGTACTACGTCAATTCTGATGAATTTCTTTTTCAATACATAAAAGATTGATGCTTGAAAAATGATAGAAAGAGTTCACATTTTTGTGGGAGTAGAAACTTAAAATAGGGTCCTGGATCCAGTTGATAGTCTTCTTGAGAGAAAGCACCAAGAAACAATATAAGTCAATGGGATTTTTTTATTATAATCAAATATCGCAGAAGAATTTTGACCACAGAAGGCATTGTGTTGACTTCAAGGGTGGGGTTCCACTAGTATAACAACCAGTTTGGTGATTGTGTGCTTCACGCGCACACGTGCGCTCCACATTTAGAAAAGTACTAATACTTAACCTTCTATAGCAGCCCCTGTGAATAAAACAGCTGAGGTGCGGCAAACTGCTCTGCTGTGTGAATCAGCTGTGCTCTAAACAAAGGAAATGAAGCACAGAAAAGAGCAGGAGCGGGTGGGCGGGTCCTCATGCTCGTTGCAGCGAACCGGTTCACTGCCAGCTAATCTTCGAAGCAAGGGATTTGCCCGAAGCAGTCTGAACCGATAGAATCCCACCCTTGGTGGGCTTGTGGTTATGGTTATGACATATTAGTATATTGAGGACCTCTGGAACATGAAATGATAGAAGTGATGCCTAGTGTGTCACTGGAAGAAAACAAAACATAATGGATCTGAATGAGCTTTGGAGCTATGTTATAGCAAAAAGAGATAAAACACCTTTATTTCTGTCTTACATCCTGCATCGTCGGGTTGCTTTCCAATGTTTTAGGATAGGAAATTCCCTTTTGGGCATAGTCAATATCAAGAATTGACACCTGGTTACAATGGCCCATTGGTAGAGCATTTTAATTACAAAGTTATTCCGATTCACTCCAGTCATCTATGGAGATTCCCAGTCATACAGGTCATGGTTGTCTCAAAGGTGCTTTTTCAAGAAGCACCTGGAGTTTCTTGTCCAGTGGCCTCTTAAAAAAGCACCTTAGGGATTCACTCCAGTCTTGATTCCACAGGGCCAAAATAGAAGCAAGGTCTGGGGCACTCTCTTGTCACGTTATTCGGAACTTCTGTGTCCTGGTATCCTGTGATTAAGTGGGTAGGATGTTTTGTAAGTCTGTTTTAACATAGGAGCTGGACCTTTGCCCTTCTTGGCTTCTGCAGACTGCTGGGAAGAGGTGGTTACCTGAATCTCATTGTGGGAAGGGTTGTTGCTCACAGCCTTGAAAGAAGCTAAGTGTGCCCATCATTAAGATGTTTCTTCTTGAATCCATAAGTGTTAGATAACTGCTGCCTGGTCTCCTTTCTTTTTTAGGAAAGATTGTCAAAATGATGGTGGGGCCAACTCTGAAGGAAGCAAATTATCAGAATCCTTTGCATGCAGGGTTAAATTCACTCTAATGTTGACTTTTGTCAAAACTTGGAGGAGCGAATTGTGTCTATCCTTGTCCTCTTAGACTTCTCAATGGTCTTGGATACTATCAACATGATATCCTACTGGATATGAGAGGATTGGGGTACAATGCTACAGTGGTTCCCTTTCTTCTTTAATTCCATTTAGTAGTAGTTTAGAAAAGAGATTGGTGTAGAGTCCACTTCATTTAAATCAGTTTTCCTCCCCTATTTTTTAATATTTATGTGAAGTTGCTAAGGGAGGTAATTCAATATTTTTTATATTAGTAGTAGGGTGACGATACCTTGCTTTACATCATGACCTTGGATTGTAGGAATAGCAATAGCACTTAGACTTATATACCACAATGTTTTACAGCCCTCTCTAAAGCAGTGTCAGCATATTGCCCCCAACAATCTGAGCCTTTATTTTACCAACCTCAGAAGGATGGAAGGATGAGTCAACCATAAGCCAGTGAGACTCGAACTGTTGAACTGCAGTACTGCATTCTAATCATTGTGTCATCACAATTATGCTGGAGATGCTATTGAATTCTGGTGATTGAAGTATACACATTTTAAGTTGCCAAGTTTGAATATAGACTTAGAACAAAGCTCTTTCATAGAGTACCTGGGGACTGGTGCCATTTATTGTTTCTTTCCTGTTTCTTTTTATTTTTTGAAATACAATTTTTACAATCAACATTTTAATGTCTATAACTGTAAACCACTGAGATTCCTTAACTGGATTGCAGTGGGATATGAATATAAGAAATGAATAATTCCTGGGGGGGTGCTTAGATAATGTAATTAATTTTAATTAATTTATCTTTTTATTGGGGAAATAGATTTTTATTTCTGCTTTAGTGAAAACCAGGGCCTTGATGGAGTGGCTAGAGCAATGTCAAGTAACTTTAAATGTGTGGACATCAGCATGGATAGTTGGAGAATTCTGGGATTTGAAGTCACCAAGGTTGAGAAATATTGGGCTAGATAAACTTTATTTAATGTATTTATCAAATTTATATAGCCACTCATCTTCACAAAGGGTAATTTCAATAATAAATGAAAGGTTGAAAATAATTGCATCAATTGATACCTTTTATATCTGTTATAGTTATCTTTTGCCTGGTGTGTATTCAAATCAGTCCTGGCATCTTAGAAGGATCACACAAAAAAAAAGGAAAATACAAAGCTGTTCATCAGAATAGATGATAATAGCTAAGTGGATGAATAGCCTGTCTTTGTACAAAGTTGACTTACATGCAATGTTTTTCCAGCTCAAAATGCATAAAAAATTAATTTTCATACCAAGTGGGGATAACAAACAATATTAACCTTCCATATCATGTTACTTCATCATATATAAAGAACAAGCTGAGTCTGAAATTTTTAACATCTCTGTATCACCAAAACTTCTAACTGTCATTCCTATATATTGTGCTTTACAGGTTATTAAATGTGCTATGCTGTGATCTAAATACCCTTCTGCTTCTAGAATCTCAATACAAGGTATCAGAAGTGCTTTTAGATGCTCAGAATGAAAATGCCATCAGTATTTCTGAAACTCCTCGGTAAGAAACAATAATTTAAAATGATGTGACTCTAAAACATGGTTCTCTGTATTCTTCCTGGTCCTCTGTGCATATTTAAAGAGTTCCAGTTTGGAGTAGTAGTTAGGTTCTGATCTAGAAACCAGGAGATTATGAGTTCTGAAACACCCTTAGAAATGAAAGCTGGGTGACTTTGTGTCAGACACACTCTTTCAGCCCAACTCACCTTACAGGGTTGTTTTTTCTGGAAAAATAGGTGGGATAAATGTAGTAATAATAGAAAAGTACTGACTTCTATGAATAGACATTCCAATATTATAGCTTACTCTTGTTTTCTTAAAGCTTGTCTCTAAAGGAATGATTAGCATCCATGCATCTGTCCATCTGTTATCTGATTGAAGATGTCAACCACTTCCAATTTTTATCTTCTGTTTTATAAGACGCTCTTAAGAAGTAGTGTTAATGTAGCTCAGAAACCAGATGATTAATCTAAATACTATATAGCAGGGGTCCCTGGACACAGCATGCTAGAAATGGGCCACGCATACAAGCGAAACCCCATCTGTGGGTTGCAGACAGCACACAAACTACGCCTTCTCCAATCCACAGAAAAATCTCTCTCCATGGAACGGTCCCTAGTGCCCAAAAGGTTGGGAGCCACTGTTGTACAGTATAGACCTGTAATAATTCGTGTGACATTATTGTATTGCCAGATAAGGAAGCTTATGTAATGGAAGGAATAGGTGTATGCCTATTCCCCATTTTTGTAATTGTAATACCAATACTGCAAATGGATGGAGCTGTTTTGTGGATGATCTGGATCCCAAGTATTACATTTTGAGTTTTTCAGTCATTTCTCAATTCAGTTTTGTTTTGCTGCAGGCAATTTATAATCGATGGCTTATCGGTTGAGAGAAACCATATTCTCGTTAGAATAAGTCACGTCGGGGGCCCCACCGAACGGATCTTGCCTCCAAGAGTACTGCATAAGGTTGTAAATGTGTTTTATGTTTTCCTTTTCATCTAGCCTCACTTTAGGTAATAGTTGCAGTTGATTATTTTCTCTTTTATTTAATCAATGATTTGTTTAAAACTTCTGATGCTCTTCTTGGCAGCTGTAAAAAAAATCCCTCAGTGTCATCATACTTCTCATAACTTCTGAGTTTATGGCCCTGATATGCATTACTTACACAGTGTTCAAGTTTATTCCCCAAATATATGCAAGATATTAAACTTCCAAAGTTGAAGACCCCAGATGCTGAGAATCTATAGCAAACCCGAGCTACCACGACTCTGAGTAATCTTTCTACATCAGGGGTGCTTAAATTTGGCCTGTGGGACCGCCCGGGAATCAGCAAAGGACCGGCCTGCAGTGCCTCTGCCAGCAAAAGCGGAGCTCTGTTTTCACTGGCAAAGGGTTGCAGCAGGCCGGAAAATGGAGCTCCGGAAGTCCGTTTTCGCTAGCAGCGGGCCACCACTGGTACCCCTGACATGAGTGATGTTGAGCTAGCCACGCCCATGTCTGCCCCCTAAGGTCAAACACAACCTTAATGCGGCCCTCAATGAAATTGAGTTTGACGCCCTTGCTCTACATGCATGCATTTTTTAAAAATTTATTGCACTTCATTTCATTTTGATTAACTCTGTGTTTAATTTTAATTAATTAGCTATATAATTATAGGCTGTTTCAATCTGAAAAAGCCAATATGAACAATATACCAATACAGTAATTATAATAAATAACCATATACAGATAGTCCTTGACTTACAACAGTTTGTTTACTGACTGTTTGAAGCTACAACAGTACTGAAAAATACTGACCATTGCAGCATCCTCATGTGCGTACGTTTGGATGCCTGAGAACTGACTCACATTTATGACAGTTGCAGTGTCCCAGAATCACATGATCCCCTTTTGTGACCTTCTGACAAAGTGAATGGGAAACCAGACCCAGCAAACAGTTGTGGTACTAATTTAAGAATTGTAGTGATTCATCTCACAGATGGGGCAAGAAAATGGGGCAAAGCTCACTGAACAAATTTCTCACTTAGCAACATAAATGTTGGTCTCAATTGTAGTCATAAGTTGAGGACGGCCTGTAAGTTATAAGGTTTAAACATAGCAACATCCGTCCATTTTTAGCAGCAACAAAATTTCTTTAGTCTCTGAAGAAATCTTGAAACAATCAGAAGTGGTTCGGCCTTCAGAAGGCCACAAAAACAGAGCTACCCTTTTTTCACGGGGTTTGCTGCTTCAAAGGAAGGCCTTCTGAAAGAAAACTCTGTTTCTGTCAGTACTTCGTTGACATCATTATAGGTAGCTGACTTTGAACAGGCATTGTCTATGCACTCTGATGGGCCGGAGGGAGAACCGTGTGGGAAAGGGAATCTTGGAGATACCCAAGCCCTGAGCCACATAAGACTTTAAAGACCGGCACCTTGATGGAAATAACACTGACAGCCAATGCAGCTCCCATAACAGTATTATATGGCAGTAGTGAGACTTTCCAATAAGCCCAAGGGCTGCTGCATTTTTCACCAGTTGAAGTTTTCGAATGGTCACCCATGTAAAGTGAATTGCAGGAATCCAATTGTAGTAGTCACTCCACCATTTTTTCAGGCATTTTCTCCTGAAAGGGAAAGTTGAAAATAGGATTATAGTTGTCCAGAGCTAAAGGATTTGGGATACATAGTTAAGGAGGGAATAAAATAATGCCTTTTAAAAGATCACTGGAATTTTTAATTCCTGAAGAGAAGTGTTGCTTGTATACTGGGTTCAAATTCTTGCTTCATCAGTGGCCAGATAACTAGCCAGAAAGATCAGGGACCAAGTTCCTAGATGGCAAAACTAGAATGTTGTCCACTTTCTCATGACACAAATATCAGGAAACCTCCAAGTAACTCCTAAAGATGTCAACTCTTGTCATGTCGTTAGATACTATTCACCCTGTTTAGCCTGGAGCTAATGTGAGTGATTTTATTCACCAAACCATCAGCTAAACAATAACAAGTTGCTCTTACTGGGTCTTCCATCCAGAGGTGGTATTCAGCAGGTTCTGACCAGTTGTGGAGAGCCGGTAGCGGAAATTTTGAGTAGTTCAGAGAACTGGCAAATACCACCTCTGACTGGAGATTTTACAGTATTCTTCCCCTGCCACGCCCACCAAGCCATACCCACAGAACCCGTAGTAATTTTGTTTTAATCCCACCACTGCTTCCATCCTGTCCTTTCCAAGGTGGATTAACATCATTTTAAAGAATTTAAATAATAAATAAATAATAAACATCATTTTAAAGTGTATAGCTGACTGACATCACATAGGTGTAATATGGATAATGGGTGTCTTGGCTATTTCACATATTAATTATATCTGTAAAACACTGATTTGTAATACTTCCATTATGTAGTGTTTGTTTTGCGTATTCCTCTATTATCTTTCATAATTATCTATGCATTTTTTATAGACCAACATAGTCTATTTCTGCTTGTCAACTCAATGTATAAAATTAGGAGTGATATGTTTTTTAATAATAAAATTTAAGTGTAGCACCAAGATTAGTATGTTTAAATTAAGATACTGATTCTTTGTTATTCACTGAGAGCTTAAATTAGTTAAATGAGTTGAACAAATTATATAACATAATTTTCTTCTTCTCTATGCTCTTCTTTAGGGTGATGATCCATATCCTTGGCCAATGTTTTCGTCATATCCTTTGCCAGCATGCTATCTTGCTGAATTTCCTAGAAAAAACCATTCAAGGAAAGGTACATTGTGGTTATATGAAGTACTACAAAAATATAAAGTATCCACTGTTTAATGAGGGTGCAATTTCCTGTTAACTACAGTACTATATATTCTCTGTAGTTTTTTGGTAGTTCAGCGATCTTTATAACTTCATTTTTTTTTACACATTGAAACCACTCCTTAGGGGAAATTCCTGTATGTGAGATGAAATATACACATTGTTTATGAGGTAATGGAAGGTTTTTGGATTCACTATATTTTCTTTTATCTTTTGGCTTGTATGTTGTCATTGAGATGCAGCGTGGTTCTGTTTACTGTTGAATTATACACTATCACAAACGTAGCAATCACACCAAGCACAATTTGAGTGGAAGGAAACAGAACATGTGGAGATACTTGTCCAGACAGATACTGCATTCAGTTCATAGACTCTAAGCGTGTAAGGTTTTTTTAATAGAACAAATACATAAAATATTTTCTTTGTTAACTCTGCAAAGCAAGGAATTTTCCTTCACTTGATTATTGTTCCAAGGGTAGTATTTATTCCCTGGAGAAGATCAGAATCAAGTTATCTGTATCTATTATACTTTTGTTTTAGATTGAAATATAATTATTCTTTAGGTGTATAACATCTTGTTTTCATACTTAAGTATGTTAATAAGCATTGGATCAAGAGGAAATAACTTTGTTATTCTCTGAATTTAATATGAACACAGCAAACATTTTTAAAATATAATTTTATTGAAAAGTTTAAAAACAAAAGTAAAAACTAATATAAACTATTAGAATAGTTTAAATATGAACTATTAGAATAGAAAAAAATGAATATTTTTGTTTAATAAAAAGTATTATCCTCATTTGCAAATTATTATTTTATTTGGAAAGATCCATTTGAAATGGGGTAATAGCAATCTGATATTAAATAAAGGTAGAAATATGCAAACTGTAGCACAAATCTTATCAATATAGACAAGAGGAAAAAAAATCTTGATCACTGGGAATCCAATATAAGCTCATTTCTAAACAATAGATTGCTAAACAAACTTCTAATTCGAAACATCTCAAAGGAAATAGTTTTAAAATAAGTTAATTTATAATTAATATTATATACATGGGGGGGAATTGTGCATGTGTAAACAAACCATCTCAGATAGTATAAATGTAAAAAGAAACTCAAAAATCCTTCTTCTACTATATTTTACTCATTTAAGTGTATCCAGAAGTCTTTTCCTTCCAAATCTGAATGAATTAGCAGCATGCTGTATTGATATGCCATGCTTTCCTCCCTCAGTGTTTATCAGATTTGTAACTACGTGGATACCATTTTAGTTACTTGATATTTGGAAGCAGCTATGTAAATATTGTGTCAGACTAGAGATTGCAAAGATGAATAGATAGATAGCCTTTATAATGACTCCCATAGGGGGTTATGACATCTATCAATGAAATACAATATGAGGTGACGGCTTTTCATCTGGACTGCAGCTAAAACAGGCCCCAAGGAAGCAAAACGATCACTTTTATATGCTTAGAGGAATCTTAACTTTTCATAGAAGTAGAATCAGCCTTGGGAGGGAATTCATCCTGAAAGTAGCCCAAATTAAACTAAGAATAAACATTCTCAATAACCACAGAATGCTAAATGTTTTCTGAGATGAAAAAATAAACTAGGGGGAGTGATATCTGAGTGGAGTAATATGAGAAAGTACACCGTGCATGGAAAGTGCAAAGGCTGAAGCTGGGGAGTATCTGAGCTGGACAGAAGTATTGTGTAAACACCGAGCAAATACCTGCCAGACTCACAGTAAAGGATGGCCATAGATCCATTGATTTGAAAGGGTAATAGGAAAGGGATATGATTGATATGTACAACCTGATTGTTATGTTCTGCAGTAGGCTAGTCTTTAAGTACATAGGCAGGCAGGCAGGTAAGTATATGCATTTTTTTCTTGCTTGCAGTAAAGCATCTTATCAAGTTGCATTCAGCCAGTGAAGCTTCTGCTATTATGAATGCAGGCTGAGTTTCTGGAGAACAGCCATATATTCCTGTCCCTGTGTAAAGCTTGACAGATAAGGACACACCATATTGCAACTATCAGAATAATCCTAATTGTGAATACTGTAATATTACCTAGAAAAGCTAACATATCTCTCTGAATAATTACAGGGGACGAATGGTTAACTCTAAAATCCCAAAACCCCAATTATGATCCCCTGAATAAATTTAGCATATATTTGTCATAGAATCAATGCTCATTTCCATGAGGAAATATTTCATTCTTTGATGACTTAGTGATTTCACAGTGACTAAATATTATATCAATTTGAACAGACTATAACTCCTTTTTCATCTACCTGTAGGTGAAAAATCAATCTAATTCCAGTTGCTAGAATTGGATCACTTTCTTGAATTTCATGTTAAAAGAGTTTGACTGTTTTTCATTTCTGAATTAAACACAGACTTTGATGCCTTTGATAGGAGATATTCTATCAGTCATACCAGCATTGAACTTGACTTCTGGCGATAACATCACCATTGCAATGGTGTTATCATTACCAGATAAAGCAGTTCAGCCTTCTCCCTGTTGCCTGTCACCATCTTGCCATCTTCTCCAAACAGTGGACTAATTCTTACTTGAACTTTCCTCTTTTTGTGCACATGTCCAAAGGATCCTTTTCTGTTATTTTTGGCATTCTTAGCAAATTTTAAATCAGTTGTATCCAACCTATGGTCCTAGACAATTAGTAATGCAGCCCCACAAGTTAGTTAAAAAAAGATTAAAAAAATACTAGTTTGTTATTTATGTACTTTAACTATATGATATATTTTATATCGGTGTAAGACAATTTCTCTTCACTCATTGTGGCCCAGGCAAGCCAAAAAGTTGGACACCCAAGCTTTAAATCATACTAAGCCTTAAGTTTCCTAATTCTTTCCTTGCAAATTTGGGTGATTTGGAAATTCTGCCTTTATTATATACCCTTCTTTCCCTTTTTGAAACTTATCTGCTGTTCTCAGTTTATTGGAGATACTTGGTTAAAAAAACTTTGATAATTATAGCTGTACTTTCCCAGTTTCAAGTTAGACCTGATTGCACAGTTAAAATAATTGTTTAAATGGTCTAGAAACCCTTTTCTTCAAATTTTAGGACAACAGAATAGTCCTAGCAAGAGACCTTTTTACCACTTTCAGAATTGCAATGGTATTTTCATCTTTGTTTCAGATGACGATGTTAGCAAACTTTTATCTGTATTAAAAAACCCAAATAAACAGACAGGATGGCTTGAAAATGTTCAAAGGCAGTTTTGTGAAATCATGCAAAAGAAACCAGATGTCATAAGTGGAGCCAGTAAGTTTATTTCTTTGTTTATTTATATACAAATACTCTTTTCAGGTAAAAGTTCAAGGAGACTGACAGGATTTAAAAATTAAAAAAGAAAATGTAAAAACAAAAATTAAAAGCAATGTCACTACTAATACTGAAATAGATTAACAAAGAAAAACACCCCTTTAGATGCACCTTTATGAATCTCCTAAATATCAGGAGAAAGGAGGCTGAAAAAGAAGTCAGAAATACATTTTGTAGTCCATAATTCCATATTTTTATCCAAAACCACTAACTTTTCTTTGTTTACTTATATTAATAGCTCTCACAACACAGCATGATATGTCTAGGATTTTAAAGAGGAAGTCTTTATATCCAAATGTTATTTATCTGATGGAAATTTATTTTGGAGGTTAGTGTTATGTTGGGAAGGATGTAGAAGTATGGTTGGTTCCAAGGTCAAAGGTAGGGTGCATAAGGATTCACTTTGTGTGAATGTGAATTTTGAGGGGAGGAAGCAAGAAGCCCAGCTGGATTTACTTTCACTTTTAAACTTGGTTGCAGAGAAAAATGAAAAGAGTTTAGTGAGACATATCCAGAGTAGTAGTATCAAAAAAAAAAAAAAAGGAGGAAATGCACTGTCCCTACTAATTTGATTCTGGTGGTGCTTGCGTTGCTTCCAGTGTAGCCAGGAGTTTGGTTGCCTTGCCTTTATTTATTTTATCATATTTTTATCCTGCCTTTATTTATAAATAGCTCGCCAGTAGTGGTGAACATATGTAAGTTCCCTTCCTCCTATTTTTCCCGCAGCGACAATCCTGTGAGGTGAATTGCGCTGAAAGAGAATTATTGGGCCAAAGTCACCCAGCTAACTTTCATGCTAAGATGGGACTAGAATTCACAGTCTCCTGGTTTCTAAGCCAGTATCTTAATCACTACACCAAAATTATAAGCATACAAGCTTGTAAACCTACAGGGGGAGAATTGATAAAACCAAAGTGCAAAACTTGGGACTTGAAAGGCCCTCTAAGGCAACTTTGCACATACACACTCCCTTTCTCTGACATATCTGTCACCTCTCAGTTTTGCCATAGGCTGGACTTCACACCTGATCTTCAGCCTACTACTGCCTTCTTTCACTCCCAGCTGTTTCCTTTTCTTCCTCTTCCTTCTCTCACACTCTGCTGTGTTTTCCTGTCTTTTCCTCGCACCCATTAGCCTGTTGAACAATATCCCTTCCATGTGCAAGTTCTGATTGTATAAGAAAAATATCCTTAATGTAAGGCTTGCATTATAGCACATTTCTATTTTTAATCCTCTTGTTTGTCTAGCAGTTCTAAAAGTGTATTTAGGCAAGCTTTCAAAATATGTTAGAGCACAGTGTGCACCGCTAATTTGTGTGTTCATAGTATAGCACCAGCCTACACTTTGCCTTGAATAATGTCAATCAAGTGTAGCCTGACGAATATAAAAACATGTAAGCCCTTTCAGGGAAAACATTTACTTAATTTAAAAAAAAAAGAAAACCGCAACTCTTGGTTTTTAAAATTAATTAACTGAAAGGAAATCAACTGAATTGGGTTTAAAATACGTGATATCAGTTATCTAAATGACTTTTCTGGGATGACAAACAAAAACAGTTTAAGAATATTTACTCTTGTTTACATCAAAATGTGAAGGCTGATATATTTCTTTGCTCGCAGCAGCAACTAAAAGAAATGACAAAGAAATACTAGTTGAGAAATAAATGCATGTGAGGACCATGCAGAAATCCAAATTTGAAGGGCAAAATGTGATTAAGAGCCAGCAATGGGCATGCACATAGTATTTCTAAGGAATTTCTTAAAACAGCTATAGGATTTATTTTATTTGTTTATTAAATTAATATGCCACCACTTCACTGTCAAGTGGCTTTGGGTGGCTTACAACATCCTAAAACAAGAATATAAAACATTAAAATGTTAAAGCATTAAAAATTAACAAAAATTGGTTAATTAAGAACCAATGCACAGTGGGGTGAAAATGGGACTTTCTTTGGGGGCCTTAAGCCAATTGGCAGAGCTAGGTTTTGAGAACCTTTAAGGAAGGCCAAGAGAATCTTGGAAAGAGTCATATTTGAATTATGAGGTAATTGACAGGGATTATGTGGGTGTTCATCCTCATGATCTTCAGATTGAGACCCCCGCAAAGCAATGGTGAAATTCAAAAATTTTCCCTACCAGCTCTGTAGGCATGGCTTGGTGGGCGTGGCTTGGTGGGACTCAGTCTCTAAAAGAAAGAAGGTGGGCGGGCTTGGGGGGGTTGGACTCAGTCTCTAAAAGGAAGAAGGCAGGCAGGCATGGGTGGGGCCGATTGATTCAAATCGTCTCTACCACCTCTCCTAAGGGGTAGGGAGGTGGCTGAATTTCACCACTGCCACAAAGCCCTCCAGTCTTTAAACAACATTGGAAAGGAAGTTCTAATTCTGAAAAAAAAAGTTGTGTGCATTTTCATCTTTAAAGAAAGTTTGAATCCACTAAGTATTTCTGGGTAACTTTTTATTCTGTACATACATTCAATGCTTAAAAAAGGACTAGCATTTTCCAAATGATTACACTTTTATATAGATATTAGACCAGTGCAGGGTAACTTAGATTTGCCTCGCGAGAGAGGGAAAAAAAGCCCTGTTGTGGCAACAAAGTTCTCATTCCTGAAGCAGATGCACCTACCCAAACCAGAAGTATTGTCTGTTTAGGCATTGTGTGTTCCAGCTTTGATAAGGATATGTTGGACAAGGCAAGCATTTTGTTTTTCAGGAACTCCTTCATGTAGGCCTTCTTTTCATTTTTTTTTTTTTAAATTGCAAACCCCCATGAGACCAAATTGCACGAAGGAAAATTATATTACATATAGCAACATTGTGAACTTGAGGAAAATTGTTTAGCTTCTAAAATGAAATGTTCTGTGACAACTTTATTGAGTTATTGTATTCAAATGCTGTTTGTCATTGTTATTCATATTTCTCAATAATATATCTGGGAGTTCACGGGACGGGACGGGGGGGGGGGCGAAATTGATTGATGATTCATTCCCAGAACCACTTACATGATTATTATTTAAAGAATACTTTTTAAAAGATTAATACAAACTGGTTTCCCATTTTTCACACTTTTAAGCAGAAATTCTGTTGAATTTCAGGATTGTACTAACCATCCTGTAACTTATCCATCTCCTGGAAATGTAGGCATAACTTAGGACAAGGGCCATATGCTCCATCCCATATCTGGGTAGACCAGATTGCCCTGATAAAAAACACTTAATCTCTTCCCTGGTATAACTGACAAAAGCCCATGACTTAGAGGCTAATATATCTATCTAATATGTAAGGAATCCTGGTTCAAATCCCAGGAGGCTAGCTGATGAGAGCTAAATAGCTGAAAATAGATCTATACTAATCTCTCTTTATTTCTTTGTTAAATATAAATTTAACATTAATGTGTCCTCAGTTATGTGAAGCAATAACCCCCCCCCCCAAAAAAAGTGAACGCCCAGATTTATTATTGAGAAATATGAATAACATCGACAAACAGCATTCAAATACGATATCCCAATAAAGTTGTCACAGAACATTTCATTAGAACATCAGGTGAGACTAACTTATTTGATTTATTTCTCCATCTGATTCTTAGATTGGCTTTCCTATTATTCAGTGAGAATAAATATAGAAATAGAAATAATAGATTAGCAAAAGCTAGAAATTGTTATATTTCAATATTGAACCATTAGTAAACAGTAAAAAGAGCTGCTGGAAGTTTGCCTTGTAACCTCATACCGAATACAATCTTTAAAGCTAATTTCCTCAGCCTGAAGTTCTTTTTTTGAAAAACACTAGAAGCATGATCTACTGCAGAACTTGGACATTTTGATTACTTTCCATCTTTTGATAGATTGGATATGTTCCCATCTCCCAAACCCTGTTTTGCTGCATTTGCAGAAAATGCTTATTTGCTTCCTTCTTTTCAAGTACAAAAACTGGATGGGCAACAATCATGACTTCCATTTCAGGGCATGTTCTGAGTATCTATGTCTTTTAACATATGGATACCCATTGTAAACTGCAATTTGTAATACATTTACTCCAATAATATTTTATGTAATTAAAGTTTTATTAATCATTACAGATCTTTGTATTTTATTGCTGTACTTTCTGGCAATAGATCCTAATAAAAGTTTGAATTGATCTGGATATCCATTGTAAACTGCAGATTCTTGGCCATTATTTTTATGAGATTATGTGAGAACCAGAAGAAAAATCTAGGACATTCTTGAGGTTACATTTAACTTGGTCACCTAAGTGAAATGTAATGTTTTTCCCTGTTTAAGCGTTCTTTAGGGCAGATCCTGGCTTTAATGAGACTCATCAGATGAGTTGCCTTATAACTCAAACACATAAACAAGTGTTTATATTTGAATGATTAAAGCAGTTTTGTTGTTTTCAAAATACCTTGTAAAAGATACGGCTGCCTTAATGATTTGAAGAAAAGGCCTTAGCATTTCTGCCTATTACGAAGTGCCTTGTTCAAATGCTTTGGAGCATCTATATCAGGGCTGTCAAACTTGCAGCCGACAGCCCGGATGCATCACAGGCTGGCCACCCCCACGTCTGGTTTAGCGAAGGGGAAAAAGTCTCAATACGTCAGCTGACACCACCATGACGCCATGTGTTTGACACTCCTGATCTACATCTTTAGTATATATATATATATATCACATTCAATTTACAGTAGAATATATAAAGATTGATGATTCATTAAACGCATCACACATCTTTTTATAAATAAAGAGCATATATTTCTTTAAAAATGAAGTTGGCTTGCCCTATTATCAGTATCCATATTCACATTTTTTAAAAATGATAACATAGAATATTTTAGTACGTTTTATGAATATCTATTCCTTGTTGTCTATTAGATTTGGTGATTGTATATGAGAATAAGCAATGATCAGTCTAATTGTCAAACTTTTGTTACTACCATTCATAATAAAGCCATATTAATGGGACAATCAAAGGATCTTGCTTATACTAAAAGAAAATATCATTGCACATACTCTTTTTTTTTTGCCCTATAACATTTAGCATAGAGACATTACTTCAGGCAAAAATTCATATGGAATTTATCGCCCTTTGAGATAATCTTGCTGTCTGGAAAGTTACGTTTTATGAAAAAGATGTGGATGGCTGACCTAGAGCTGTTTATCACAAACTCTGAAATATGCTGACCTTTATATCAAAATGAAAGCTAAACTTTTGTCCTCAGTAGACAAACAGACAGTGAATGTAATTACAGCTAATTTTCCTTATGCTAAAACTGTCTGAAGCAATCCTTGGAGAATCTAAGCATAACAAATGTTTCGCTTTCAGTTTACACTGAATAGATTGTCAGTGAAGCCATTAACATTTTAATTTAAATTGGGAATATTATGAATACAAAACTAGATGTAAGTTTTGAATGGTTTTTGCTCTGCAAGTATGAATAAACATGCAGTTCAAATTGCTTTACTTACCTATATGCTTTAATTTAGTTGTTGCTTTGGTTCTGTTTTTTATTTTATGGTACTCTTGCTTTAATCATTTTGTCTTACTGCAGATTTGGCAGAATTAATTGAAAAAACTGTGTTGCACCTCTTTGAAATACCATCAGAACATTATTTCAGCAGCAAGGTATATGAAGGTAATTTTCCAATATTATTATTTTGCCTGCATTAGTGAACTAAAAGAAAGACATTTTCCTGTTCAAGCTTCTCTCTTGAAGCTAAATGGAGCTGTGGAGAGAGCATTTCTGGCTTAGGTTAATGTGATTGATTTATTTAGTGTCTATATTGCTTTGGCTGCTTTTAATTCTTGGCCCCAAAACCAAAAATATAGCATACAAACATAATATATAAATATATATTAACAGAATGATTATTGTTTTGAATGTTAATTTTATATGACTAATATCACCTGAGCCAAAAGTTCAGTTTCTAGATTACCATAAAACAATACATTTCAACTAAATTTATTAAACAGTTATTAATTAGATACTTGCAATATGTCTGTCTACTCTTCCCTATTAAAGTATAGAAATACTGAATTGTTTATTGCAGATACAAGAAATAACAGATACAAGAAACCCAGATAGAATAACGGAATGAAAAAAAAAATCTTAGAATGACTTACTATTTTTAAAGAAATCTGATAGATTTGAGATTTGCAATGTCAGCAGATTGCCTAGTACAGCCATCTCTCATATCCAAGCAACATAAAACACCTTGGCTAAGTATCAAAATGCAAGGAGCATGAGAAGACTTGAGTTTAGCATTCTGGGGAATAGAATCAATCTGGTATGGAAGTGGGTTTCAGGACAGTGCATTGATATTCTATGTTATCATGTTTCTGGAAATGAGAAATTGATTACCCTAAATTACAGTGGCTTTCTAAACCCTTGTGTGGTTAAAATTAAAATAACACTGTTCATCCAGCTGTTCTGAAATCTCTCGGGATTTGAATCCATTAAAATGTGCAAATCAGGAAAAATCACATTAATTTTGGTGAGAGTTTTAAATGTGAAGGAAAGCTCATATATTGATATTTATATAAATGTAGTTTTTAATGGTAATAAAAAAGAGTTAACTCAGGATTGCCTGCCAGTATTGATCTGGAGGAGTACTCTTGTATCCAACTGAGTGAGAATACAGCTTGTTACCATGGGAAAGTGTATAAATGACTTGGATGACTTACCTTTATATTCTGCCCAAATAAAATATTGAGCTGCGTATGATTTTGAGCATGTCTCCTAGCTTCAAATAATGAAAGTTGCATTATGTATATATGGGAGGAAATTTTGCCTTTTTCTATTTCTATTCCCTCAGTGGCATCCAACTGGCTTCTACCTTAGTATATGGGGAAATTAGTGAAGCTAATTTATATCTGCCAGTTTTAAACTAAAATATTTTTTGGGGGGGCGGGGGGGAAACCAGGTGTGGAACTCTGTTACTTCAAAAATGCTTATTAGGTTTACATGTCTTACTAGAGTGGCAGGAAGAAGTAAACTGGAGCATACCTTCCTCATTGGCTGATTTTTATAGACACACACAGAGATGCATACATACATACATACATACATACACACACACACACAAACACATATCAACACACAAACATCGCATACACAAAGAGATTGTATTATTATTAATACATTATTGAGTACAGTGGTTTTTATGTAGTACTGACTAAAGATTATAGGTACCCTTTGGTTAAGAACCATTCATTCACTGATAGTTCTAAGTTGCAATGGTGCTGAATAAATGGCACTTCTAACTGATGGCTGTCACAGCAGCCCCACCTTCATATGATTGTGATTTGAGTGGTTGTCAACTTAGAATACTTACAATGTCCCCATAGTCAACTGGATCACCATTTACAGTCTTCCCTGCCAGCTTCCAAAAGCAAAGTCAATGGGGAAGGTTGCAAGTTGGTCCTGTAAGTTACTCACACTGCTTCTTCTCTTCCTGCTCTGGAGAACTCCGGGATCTTGCACTCAGTAGTATATACTTGGTTGCAACACCTCACATATATTCTATAGCACACACCTTTCTACTTGTGTAGTGCAACAGCACCCCTTCGCTACTTGCTACTACTCAAGTAGTGCTGTAGCATCTCATCTTCTGTTCACTTATACTGGTGCCACTGGACTCTACCTGCCCATATTCATATGGTGCTGCAGTGCCCCACCCACCCATCTGGACTTCATAGTATTCACCTGCCCACTAGCTTGCTTGCAAGCCCTCCAGGACTTATGATTTTTCTACCACCTTCTCCATTGACTTTGCTTGTTGAAAGCCGCAGAAAGCTGCAAGTTCCAGTCACAGGATGTCTTCACTTAAGAACCCTTGATTCCTGCTTAGCACTGGTAAGTGATTACTATTGCTAAGTGATGCCACATCACTCAGTGATGGATATTCCAGACCCAATTGCCATGATTAAGCAAGAAATTGTATTGAAACTAGGTTGAATTAGATAACTTAAGCCTTTAACAATAAAGAAAAAAATTAAAAAAGTTATGTCAATATTAACTATGTTTCCTAAAATGTTAATGTTTATAAAAATAATGTTGCTTAAATTTTACTTCTAAAATTGGATATAGTATTGATAAACATGTGTAAAATAATTTGTTACATAATAATGCCCTCTATTTTGTTACTTAATACTGAGATCTCCACTGTATTTTTATTATTACTTATTGTTGTTTGTGCATATTAGAAGTGATGTGCTAATATTCTGTATTGTGGAATTTTACTTTTATAACTCTGAGATAACGTTAAATGTTATAGTCTCTATTTCTATTTTAAATATATGGTTTGAACACCAGTTTCACACTTAATTAACCAATTTATTTGAGATGGCACATTTTCTCATTCCTTATCAAAGGATATTTAATAAGTAGTTTTCTTCATGGATCATTTCGTTGCAATGGTGAAAAGGCTTGTGCGCTGCAGTGACACCATGAGCTATAGTGTTGACCGTATACATTCCCTGAAGAAATCTATGATGAATATATTATAGAAAAGCTAAGAGGGAAATGGCAACACATTCTGCTATTCGATAAAAGGGCCAAGTGGGCACTCTAAATTAAGTCAAGGCCAACATGACTTCCCCCAAGGTTGAAAGGTCTCCAACAAGCAATTGAAGAAGTGCCTGTATATATGAGCAGCACTAGTGTTTATGATATGGCTGGGTTAAATCCAAAAGAATGTCCAGCTCTTGACATTCCAAGAGAGAGAGAGAGAAAAAAGTTTGAGGTTGCAGAGGTAAGAGCATTGATTCATGGAATGTCAGAACTGTAAACCAAGGTGAACTTGTTACCATCACAGCAAAAGTATCAAGACTGAAATGGATTGAAATAGGCAATATAGCAGTGTTCTCTTGCATTAGTTTCTTACTCTGATATATCTTGTAGGGCTGACAGTACTGCAGGAGGGTGTTCAAATATGATGTACACAGCTCATATCTTGAAGAAAATGACACTATATTTTTATATATAGTTTTGCAAATACATTCTTACAATCTGATGAGCAAACTGTACCAAATAGATCATGTGAAATCAAATAAACAAATTTAGTTGTCCTGTACTTATTTGAGTTCATCATACAAGAACTTTTAATTTTTTTAAATCCCTATCTATGACTACAAGAGTAAGAAATGTAGAAAGATTCACCATAGTATATTCAGATTTCAATACCAATAAACAAGGACCTCAGGATAGATCACATAAGCTAAAATACTTAAAATGTAACATAAATTTTAAAATCACATATGATCAGTATAAAGGACTTGCTGTAGAATCATATCTATCATATCACAAAAATCACAGAAGAAGTGGGATAGCCATCCTTATTAACCAAAAAGTGCTCAGATTCAGCCCCCAGAATGAATCTAGTTTGAGTTCAAGGCAATTAATTGCATTCTAACCATTGAAACAGAGGAAACAGAAGTTGAACAGCTCTATGGCAACTTGTAGTAACACACAAAGATGTCCTTCTAATTATAATACTGTTAACTCTGAAAGGAAAATAGCAACTGGAATAACAGGAACATTTGGTCTCAGTCTACAGAACAATGCAGGAAATAGAGTTTGGCATGGAAATTGAGTAGCAGATATCTACCAAAAGATAAAAGAGGATTCAGCATATTGACATCATTGGATAGAGAGCACTGAAATTAAATTGTGTTCTTTTCAAGCAAAGCTACATTTAGGTAGAAGATTTGTATGATATAAGTATCAGCTCATAAGAATGTGAAGAATCAGTTAAAAACCGCTCTGGTTAGAGTATGTGTATGAAGTCACAAAAAATTAGAAGTGACTGAATGAGCATCAACAAAATAAGAAATTAGGAAATAAATCTTCCAAACAATGAATATCAGAATATCTTGTTTGCCTATCATTTATTAATGGTGCTCCTTGGTTGGCATATGAGAAGGCTGGGAATGTTTTAGTGCTGCGAGATATCCCTGGCAAAAGTTATTCGTGGTTTTATTACCTCAAAATTGAAGAATTGTATTATATCACTCAAATTTCAGCTAATATAGAATGCAACTCTGCAACTGGTGGTGATTGGTGAAAGCATTTTTAAAGTGCCCCAGTCTTGTGGAAGAAAGGTATACATGGCCGCCTCCTTCCTAGGCCAAGGCTTTGGGGAACCATTAAAGTAATGGCCTCTTTTTTTCCTGAGAAAACTGAGGCACAAGTCAGTGAATGAAACAGCAATGAAACTGCTGTTGCTTGTAAGCAGACAAACTCCTTGTTTATCATTTCATTTTATCACAAGACTCAGCAATATTCACATACTTATAAAATATAATGCTTTTTGCCCTTTGGAAATTAGTTTTTCAGAATATTTTTTTTCCTTTTGTTGACTTCTACGGGTATTTTCATTTGTATGGTTATGACTTGATTGGTTGGGATTAACTACATTCTCTAAAGAAAAGATCTGCACTTTTGGTGTTAATTCCCCCCACCCACCCCCGTCCTTGAAACAGTCTTGCCAAAGACTTATTTATATCAGTTTGAAGAGAGGTTTTTAAATGCTGGCTAACTTAATGCTATGTTAGTATTCAAGCTGAATATGTCTTATTTATATCTAGAGTAAATCATACATATTATTTTCCATTTTAAGGTAGTATCACATCTAAACCATCAAGCATAACCTACAGTAATTTTTTAAAGTTGTGAAATGCCTTCAGCTTTGCCCAAAATAGTGTTCATCTGTAAATATCATCAAAATATAGATATACCAATTACAGAGCAGCATTTTATTTGGTAAGCAGATTTAACATCGGCTAGAAACCAAAAGACTTTGTTCTAGTCCCACCTGAGGCACAAACCCAGCTTGGTGACCCAGTCATTCTTTCTTAGTCCTAGAAAGGAGAAAATGGCAAACCATTTCCAAAAATATTGCCAAGGAAACTGCAGGGACTTCTTTTGTTTCCTTTTTGAGACTTCCCAGTCATTGTTAGAGTTTGTAATGTTTAATTCTTCAGATATGATTCTACAGCAAATCCTTTATACTGATCATATGTGATTTTAAAAATTATGTTTAATTTTAATTATTTCACATTATGTGATCTATCATGAGGTCCTTGTTGATTGGGGTTGAAATCTGAATATACTATGGTGAATCTTTCTACATTTCTTACTCTTGTAGTCATGGATAGGGATTTAAAAGATTGTAAAAGTTCTTGCACTATGAACTCAAACAAGTACTGGAAAACTAAGTTTGTTGATCTGTGTTGATTTGACACAATCCATTTTGTACAGTTTGCTCATCAGATTTTAAGAATGTATTTGTAACACTATGTATAAAATATGACATCATTTCCTCCAAGATATGAGCTATGGAAACTGTATAAACTATATCTTGCTGAGTGCTTAAAGACTCTGCTGATCAGTTGGCTAGAGTCTTTACGAGGATCTTCAATCGGTCTTTATCCCAGTCCACTATTCCATCTTGTTTGAAGACTTCCACCATTGTACCGCTGCCAAAGAAATTCCCTATCAATAACCTCAACGATTACAGACCAGTGGCACTCACTCCTATCATCATGAAGTGCTTTGAGAAATTGGTCTTCCAGCACATCATTTCTGGTCTTCCACATACATTTGATAAACACCAGTTTGCATACAGAAGAAATAGATATACAGAGGATGCTATAGCCATTCATGCTGCTCTGACTCATCTAGAACAACGGGGGGGAGGGGGGAGCTATCTGAGGATGCTTTTTTGTAGATTTTAGTTCTGCATTTAACAGAATTCTCCCAGATAGACTAGTGTCTAAACTTCTGAATCTTGGACTTTCTTATTCAATCTGCCTTTGGATTATGGTTTTCCTGTCTGGCCGCTCACAAAGGGTCAGATTAGGTAATCATACCTCTTCAGCCCTTATTCTTAAGACTGGTACACCACAGGGTTGCGTGTTGAGTCCCTTACTCTATATACTATTTATGTGCATGACTGCATTCTCACTCACGCTAGTAATACTATTACCAATTTTGCAGGTGATACAACAGTGGTGGGATTCATCTCCAGAGGGGCGGGGGGATGAGTCTGCCTACTGAGATGAGGTGGATCGGTTGTTTTTGTGATGTGGAGACAATAACTTGGTCCTCAACACCAATAAGACCAAGGAGCTTATAGTGGACTATAGAAAGAACAGATCAGACATCCAACCCTTGCTTATCAATGGAGACCAAGTGGAGCAAGTGGCCAGTTTTAAGTTTCTGGGTGTTACCATAAAAGAAGAACTGACCTGGGGTGCTCACATTGCAGCACTGGTCAAAAGGGCCCAGCAGAGATTATACTACCTGAGACTTCTCAGAAAACAACAACTGAATGAAAAACTGCTGGTGACCTTCTACCGCTGCACCATAGAGTGTATCTTAACTTACTACACCTCTGTATGGTTTGCCAATTGCACAGTGGTAGATAGGAAAGCACTCCAGAGAGTTAACATCATTGCCCAGAAGATCATTGGTTGCTCTCTTCCCTCTTTGGAAGAGCTTTATAGCTCCCACTGCCTTAAGAAAGTTCAAAACATTCTCAAAGATCCATCTCATCTTGGGCACCCCTTTTTTGAACTATTACCATCTGGCAGCCAGTACAGAATAATAAAAACAAGGACAAACAAGCTGAAAAACAGCTTCTATCCCAGAGCAATAGCTCTGTTGAATTCTATGTGAATATCCTTCTGCTCTACTGTCAGTCCTACAAGGTAGATCACTGTAAGAAATTGGTACCATATAGATCAGGATTACATTTATTGTAATAGCTATAGTAACAACATCTTGCAAGTGAATGTGCTTCCCCACTCCCACACTTTATCTTAATTTGAAGTAGGGGAGCACTTGTCTGAGTTGTTTTCTCAAATTATTTACTTGGTCTAGGCTCAAGTTCCACTTATCTGAGTCTTGCCATAGTACAACTCTTGCTTCTGTCCTTCAAGGCCATTCTCTCTGCTCTCTAAGTTACAGACTTTGGAAATGTGTACAACCTACAGACTTAAATGTCTTTATAGCTTATGATAGTCAGGGAAATTCCAGTTGGGGTGTTTTGCTATAAAAAGTGTATTAAACTTCACTCTACCCATCTCTAGCTGAACTTTGTCAGGAAGATCATAGTTGCACTATGTATCTAACACTGTGAAATGGACTTTCTTAGCATATGAAAACTTCCTTCTCTTACATCAAAATGTAGAGCATGAGTGTCCAACCTTTGGAACTTAAAATTTGTGGACTTCAACTTCCAGAATGCAGCATGGCTGGCTGTGGAATTCTGGGAGTTAAGTCCACAAGTCTTAAGGTGCCATTGTAGGATACCCTTGATGTAGAACTTCCTTACCATTGAGAGAAGTTCCTGGTATTCCAGCATAAATACCCTTTAGTAGGAAATGGACAGAGCAGACAAAAATGAGAGAAGGTTGGCTTCCTTTAAATCATGTGAAGAAGAAATAATTCAATTATATTTTTTGCTTACTACTATCAAGCTTGCAAAAGAATATGAGGAATATTCTTGTTGGTAAATTCTCCATGGTAATCATATGATTGATTGTAAGGAATAAGTCATTTGTCCTCTGTTTCAAAGAAGCCAATTGGAGCCTGAGAGAAATTGTTCTTCAACAGTGTAGGGAGTTTTGAAGTTTTCTAGGTTTTGAAAGGATATTTCATTCTTCCCTTTTTGAAGGTACACCAGTCTCTGCCTGAGGCAGAAAATAGAAAAAAATATTTCATGGTTTCATTTTATTGGACTGTATTCCAGTGAACTTTGGATTTGTTTCTTAGATATTGCTGTGATATCCAAGGTTGAAGAGTGGTTTAATAAATAACATAGTTTCAAGACATTCAGCTCCATTCTGCCAAGGTCTAGTTCAAAAGTATTTCATCAAATGTAATAAACTGCTTTAGTGTAGGACAAGTAGCCTTCCCTGCTCCCTTACTCAGAAGAAGATCCTTCCTATATCCCAGGAGTCCCCAGACTTGGCAGCTTTAAGTACACAAGTCTTAAAAGTTGCCAAGTTTGGAGACCTGCTATATCCAAAGAAATGTCTTTGGGTAAATCAAGTCAAGGAATTAATAATAATGTATTGGTATCAACATCACCTGGTATACACTTCTGACTACAGCAAATATTTATCAGATTACTATTTATATAGCATAAGGGCAGAAGTCAATTCTGACTGTAAAAAGAAAATGAAGCTAAATGTTACAATGCATGTCCGTCAGGTAGAATGCCTTCTTACCGTGCTCAGGATTTCAGAATTAAGGAGGATTAGAGGTTGTTTGTAAAGGCACAATGATTATTAAAATGTTTGTGCACGAGTTCTTAAGAATATATGTGAAATCCTGGCAGTTATCACTTTTTTCTTTTAAAATTTACTAATATCAGTTTTGCATTATTTTATTTCATCTTAAACTAGGTTCATTGACTTCTTTAAATCCTTTTCTTGAATTAGACAGCTTGGGAGCTGCTACTGTAAGGCACACTATTTATTCTGCTTTATTTTTTCACTTTTTATTCTGACAATTCACAGGTACTCCAACCTTTGTTCAAGAAAAATGGTCTTCTTTATGAATCTTGAAACCTACAGTAATTTGAGACTTTTAATGAAACTAATCTCACATCATTTTTTTTAAATCAAGTAACATAGCACAAATAAACAAAGTATGTTTTCTATGCATCATAACTGCAAAACAGTTGTAGGAGGTTATGCTGGTGTTCTGACCATAATAAAGTTTTGATTGGTTGTAGGAGGGCTTTTTCCTTGTATAAGGGCCTAATTTCTATTGTTTTGCAAAAGGATAAAGAAACAGTAAGATTAACAGGGCCAATTAAAAGGGACATGCTTTGAGGCTATTAAGAATTGTATTTAAGTATGACCATGCTGGAGCATGGATTCAGTCATAAGATCCTATTATATATATTTAATTGTGAAAGTTCTCCTTCAGATTGTTTTGATGATTTAAATTACAAACTTTACAGAATGCAAACCGCATACAAAATGCAACACAATTATTAACAGCATATACAGCATACAGATATTTGCTCAGAATACATGACTGGAATAATAATCAAAACATTGTTTTGCACATCCATTTCTTCCACGAGTAGCTTTGCTCATACTGTTTTATATAGTTACTCTGGGAGAAGTAAACTGTGATTTAATAGTCCTTTATATCTAACTTAAAATTGGAAGTTGTACCGAGTACAGTTGTTAAAAGTAAGGCCAAAGGTAGTTAAATGTGTATTTTACTGTGATAATAAAAATTAAATTTCTCTTCATGCATAATATATAAAAATATATTGCTTCCTTGCTTTCTTCCCTCTCTTTAAATATATCTTAGCTGAACATTGGTAAGTGTACTTATATGTTAGCTAAAATGATTATGATAATTTTTATATAGCCTTTGTATGTTTTTCCCCCTCTTTGTTTTCAGCTGATGTAAATATGGAGATTAAAAACCTTACAGCAATTCAGCAAGTTGGAATTAAAATGACAATCAGGTAATTTTCACTGGAATATTTGATATGGATATTTATAATAAGCCTCATTTTTCTCATTATTCCATGAGTTGATGTGAAAAGGCATTATTTTAAAGATATTTATAACATTTGGGCAGAGCCTTGCACCTCCAAGAAATCTGCAAATTGTGTTCCGTGAATGAACATTGCGCTCAGCGTGGTATAATAAATACAGTCCTCCAAGTCCTTTGAGACAAGCAAGCTGAATGACTAAAACAACTTTTTAATCAAATGTTAGTAGTATGTTGTGTTTTGATTAATTAATATAAGTGATTATATCACTGAACATCGTAAAATAATAGTCCAGTATTTTCCAGGGAGGATCTGCAAATAAACATTGAATATTGACCGTCTTTGGTACCATTATTGGGGCTGATAAAGCATTCAGTAGGGACACCGAGCAAAGCACAATGGAACAAAGAACTCTCGCTGGAGCATGAGAGTAGCTATATCCTTTGGAAAATGTACCTGAGTTTCTGGATATGAAAAGCCTTTCTACGGGGTCTGCCTGCAAGGCAACTGTGCATACATATATAGATTCAGGCAGCTGTTGAAGCAGCTCTGCAAGAATTCCAGGTAATAGAACAAGAATACTCTTAAGGAAGGATTTGTGATTTGTGCCTATGTATCTTAAGATGATTTTCCCCTTTGGGATGCTTTGCACAGCCCTAGCCAAAATATTTTTTTCTTGCAAGTAGGAACCAGAATAAAACATGTACCTTTTCCTTATTTTTTAAATTAAAACATAAGTTAAAAGGAGGAGGAAAAGTAAAAGTAAATGAAAGAACCAGTATGGTATAGTGGTTAAGGTGTTTGCCTTGAGTAGGGAGGCAACCTTAAGCCACAGAAGCTCAATGGGTTAACTTTGGGCCAATCATTCTCTCCTAACTTCCCATACAAAGTTGCTGTTAAGGTTGCTTAAATTATTTAGGGGTAAATGATTAAGATGGAGTTGGGAGACACTATATACATTGTATTGTACTATGTTGTATTTATTATATCGTATGTTATTACAATGCAATATATACACAAGTTGCTGCTATGGGGAAATGGCCAAGTAAATTAGGTAGGGGTACTAATGCAATCAAGATGGAGTTAATACATTGTAATATTATAATCTAATGTAGTGTATTTGGAGATTCCATGTACTGTACATTGTTATATTAATAATATAATGTTTGTGTATAACTTTTTACAAAGTACAAGGTTGTTCATACTTAGTAGTTCTACCAAATTGAGACCCAAAATTGATAAAACATTCCTTATCTAAAATTTCTTTAAGCCTCTGACCAACTGTTAGCACCTTGGTGCCAGGCCAATCTTACTACCCCTCCCTTCTCTCACAGACACAACCACCCACCTCATTGTCCCTGTTCTCACCATGGAAAAATATTATTATGCAACCTTCAACCAACCAGCCTCCACCTCTGCCTCCTGTCTCTCATCTTTTCCAATACCTTGTCCCCAAACCAACTAACACTCCACGTCCTAGTCCAAATACAGTCTTCCAAGTCCTTTGAACGAGGGCTACCACAAGTTGCCAATTGAACAAGCACAGCAAGACAAGTTTTGAAAACTTCTGTTCCAGAAATGGGATGTCTTAATGGTCTAGGAATGTTCTGTTTTCTCCCAAGTATCTGCTGATGCAACTATTATAATAGTGATTTCTTGGAATTAATCTGAACATGTGTAGAAGGAATTTACAAACTATTTATCCCCAGTAGCCACATCAGTGTGCTCTAGGAGAAAGCAGGATACCTAGAGACATTAATGGCTTTCCCTTGAAACCCACAGTTTTAAAGCCCACTGGAGACCATTTATTATTATTTCATTGTGCAAAGGCACTGTATGAAGCATTTGTGGGCAATCCTTGTCCTCTCCTTGCTCTGGAAAGGATTTCTAAGGAGCTGATCCATTGTCCAGCTGTATGTTCTGTCATAATCAGTTCCACTCTTGCAGAGCCATCTTCAGTCCAGCTTTGCTTCCCCCGTTGCTTTAATCTTGTCATAAAGAAATGTGGCAATGACAGCAATTTCATTTATTTGTTCATTCACTTATTTATATATCATATTTATATGACTGCCCATGTCACAAAACATGACTCTATGGATATACAATTTTAAAAAATCATGAAATGACAATATTGAAAAATATTTTTTAAAGCATTAATACTATTATTAAAGGCTATGAGAGTGCACTAAATGTTATGAAAATAATGAACAATAAAAATCATATTATTTCTCAGGGGGTAAGGTAGAACAATAGGAAATAATTGCACAAAAATGTAAGAACCTTCTCCAAAGCTACAAAGCTAATTTTTAAATTTATGAATATGGCAATAATCATAGAGACCATAATTTTTGTGTTAAGAAAAATAAATTCACACAATTTAGCTAAAGCAGTTCTCCGAGTCCAGTCTTTTAGATTATGATTAGATTAGATTAGAAGGTTATGCAGCAGGATTACTTCAGGGATGGGATTCTACTGGTTCGGACTGGTTTGGGCAAACCAGATTTTAAAGTTACAGCTGGTTTGCCAAACCAGTATTTCAAATGACTGGCTGGCCCCTCCCCCCCCCCCCCTCCCCTCCCAGGAGTCTCCACGGAGCCCATTTTCGATGGAGGTAAGTGCAGGTCTGCATGGAGGCTCTGGGAAAAACGGGCCTCCTGGAAGTCCAGAAACGGGCCTGTTTCTGGCTTCTGGAGGGCCTCCAGAGGTTGGGGGAGGCTGTTTTTGCCCTCCCAGAGGCCCAGGGGAAGCCTCTAGACCCTTGGGAGGATAAAAAAACAGAAGTGGCAAAACAGGCCTATTTCCGGCTTCCAGTGGACCTCCAGGGGCCAGCGGAGGCTGTTTTCATAATCCCAGAGGCCCAGGGGAGGCCTCTGGACCCTCGGGAGGGTGAAAATGGCCTCCCCGGGATCTGGAGGCCCACCGAAAGCCGGAAATGGGAAGTTCTGGGAGGCTGCACCCAGAGGTGGTATTCAGCAGGTTCTGACCAGTTCTAGGGAACTGGTAGTGGAAAAGTTGAGTAGTTCAGAGAACCAGCAAATACCACCTCTGACTGGAGATTTTACAATACCTTTCCCCGCCACGCCAACAGAACTGGTAGTAAAAAAATTTGAAACCCACGACTGGCTATGCCCACCATGGCCACTCCCACTCAGCAACCAGGCAGCGAACCGGTTGCTGGGATTTTTGAATCCCACCCCTGATTACTTTTTTATACTCACTCTTTATTTAAAGCCTTTTAACCATATTCTTTATCTAAAATAATTCCCCAAATAGCTTAGGCATTCTTAGAAGTCTCACAAGAAAAATTATATGGGAAAGGAGGAGGGGTTAAAAATGAAGATCAGGCACTTAGATGTCAGTTCATCTTACAATCTCTTTGGGCAAACACTTCAAATAGCCTAATGGACTTGTTTACTGGGACAGTTGGTCCCTCCAGAAGAAATCATGGGCTAGGCTTTCCTCCGTTTAGCAATGTGTTAGAATGGTTGGTACAGTGGTGGGATTCAAAATTTTTTAATACTGGTTCTTTGGGCATGGCTTGGTGGGCATGGCAGGGGAAGGTTACTGCAAAATCCCCTCCCCACCCCACTAACCTGCTTTCCAGCTCCATTCTCCTGTGCAGGGCAACCAAAGAAGACCCAGCCAATCTGCTGGGACTCGGGAGGAGGTAAGAATAGATGGGGGTGAGGCCAGTCAGAGGTGGTACTCCAAACTACTCAAAATTTCCACTACCGGTTCTCCGAACTACTCAAAATTTCTGCTACCGGTTTTCTAGAACTGGTCAGAACCTGCTGAATACCACCTCTGGGTTGGTAGTATAAATCCAAGAGATCTTGTCAAGGCTGTTCTATAAGCATAATACAGATTGTTTCTTTTCTTAAAACATTTAGCTGTGGTCAGCAAATGTTAACATTAATATTATATACTTGTTCTGTTTAAAAAATAATTTTAAAGTATTTTGTTTCTGCTTAAAAATTTATTTCTTTTAAAGCTATGGTAAACATTTGAATCTGTTGAAGGAGAATGCAGAAAATGATCTATATCAAGTGCTAATCTACTCTGAGAAATATTTGAAACAACAGAAAGTACCTTTAAAGAAATCATTACGTATCCTTTTGCTGTTAAAAGATAGAATTCACCAAGTGTTTTGTCAGTAAAGTAAAGGTTTCCCTGTCCAGTTGTGACCTACTCTAGATTGCAGTGTTTATCTCCACTTCATTGTCCGAAGTCATTTTCCCTAGTCATGTGGCCAGCATGGCTATATGCTAAAGGTGGAAGGAAAACTGTTACCTTCCCATCAAAGTGGTACCTATTGATCTATTCGCATTTGCATGCTTTCAAACTTCTAGATGGACATTAGCTCGAGCAAAGAATGGGAACTCACCCCATTGTGCAACTCTTGGGTCTCAAACCCAGACTGTTGGCTTTCCAGCTGACAAGCTCAGCATCTTTAACCGCTGAGCCATCATGCCTCCATTTTGTCAGTATAATTGTCTAAATCATTATTCATTTGTTTTTGTTTTTTTTAATTTTAAGATAGTTGTTTATAATTAATTGATTTGATTGACCAGATGATTATATGCCATCAAGTCATTTTCAGCCTTTAGAAATCACATAGATTTTCCCTATGGAAAAACAGACCTAGTTTTTATGAAATATATTCATGTTGGAAGGAATTATATTTCTTTCTGAGAATTACATTTTTTTCACCCATTCCTTTGTAAATATAGATATCTACCTGTTCTTCAGATTTGGATTCATTATTGGAAAGAATGGGATGCCACATACTTATAAGATGTAGGTGATCCTAATTTGATCTGAGTTCTGCGAACAAGTTCATCATTATAGAGGCAGACGAAAAAGTGTTTTCTTTTGTGTTTGGGACAAAACAGCTTTGATATTCCATTGTGTTTCTTTTGAAAGAACAAAACTTAAAAGTGTTTCAGGTTCCAAAGATGTCATTTCTTAAAGCATTTCGAATACACCAAATTTTCCAATTTCAAATTTACCATGGGAAACAATTCAAATTTGAAAGAAGCTTGTTTTTTGTTTCTATAATTGGAAGTGAAAAAAGAAGGGTGGAAATCATTTTGGCTGCTCCCAATCTATGGGTGGAGGGGAGGCCAAAGAATATGTTTAGGGTGAGATAAAACTGTTGGAAAATTCAAACCAGGGTGTTCAAGCTCCAAAAAAAGCCATTTGTTTTTCTTTTTGCCAACAGTCTATATTTTATCACGTTGCCTTTTCTTTTTCTAATCAATCTATTGTCATGTTTCTCAATTGTCTACAATGGACAAGACAAAAAGATTGGAATTCCTTAGTTATTCTTACAGATAATCAGCTGGACGGATACGTATGCTATGACTGGTTTGTATCTTCTGTGTTTCTAATAATGATGGGAAATCGAGAGAAGACATTAACATTTCTCCACCAGTTCTCTTATCTTCTTGTTTCAGCCTTTCTTTGGGCACCACGACTGCATAATTCTGTAAGATTTCAAAAGAAACTTAACCTTGACAAATTGCTTTGAGCATTTTTAGTGAATGCTTATTAATTTAGCCTCTTTAAAAGGGCACTCACTTAAGGACTTTCTAACTGGATATTTCAATCGTAAAAACGTTATCCATGCCAAAAAAAAAATGTGGATTTGACATCAGTTCAGTTTTCTAACAGGAGGAGAAAATAGACCAATATCAAGTGTAGCTATTGGATTTTAAAATGAGAAGTAAGATTCACTTTATTAGCAGTGTTAAATTGTGTGCAGGCAGAGAGAGCTCTTCAGCACTCTTTTATTACTATTGCTCTGTGTATTGCTTTCATTCTTTAGATTATTAATTTTTGTTTTATTATACCAAAACTAGATACTGTAGGTGGTCCTCAACTTATGACCACAACTGAGCCCAAGATTTATGTTGCTAAGTGAGACATTTGTTAAGTGAATTTTGCATCATTTTATGACCTTTCTTGCCAGAGTTGTTAAGTGAATCACTGCAGTTGTCAGAGTTGGGGGCGATTTCTTTTAAATTTATTTATTTTTCCAGATTTTGTTCTATTGTACTTTAATAATTTATTTTATTCTTTTTATTAGTTTTTACTGTTGTTATTTTAAATATGGTTTTACATTCTGTAAGCCACCTTGAGTTTCCATGGGTGAATAGATGGAAAAATAAATTAAATAAATAAATGCTTGCTTGCTTGCTTAAGGACCCACACTTAATGATGGCAGTGGGGATTGCGGGGATCCGTTATCGCTAAGCAATGTGGACCGCGTCACTTAGTGATGGAAATATATGAAAGTGTACAAGTAAAAATGGCACTGTGGTATCATGTATAAATTTATAAGAAATTCGGGGACAGGCATCTTGGAATTGGTAATAATTTGCTGATGGCCATTTAAATGGCCTGGTCCTGAGTTTTACTCTGGCCCTGAGAAGGGATAGAAATGGGCCTTTTAATTTCCTTTCTATAAAGGGGGAAGGAGCAGAGATGTATTCCTGCTGTTCCCTCCATCTAATTCTCCATGTCTGATAACTCATGCTCTGGGATTTTCAGGAGACTACACAGGGGATCAGAAAAGAAAATTAAGTCATGAGTTGATATATGTGCATCTTTGTTTCAATTTATTTATTTTTGACACATTATAATGGCTTCAGGTCTTAATTGCATATAATATGCAAGACAGTCCTAATGCCTTTGCTTATCTGAATTTGGAGTAGAAAACAGCATGGAGTGCTTACCCTTCCCTGCCAAAAAGCTCATTCAAAGCAACTTTCTTTTTTTCCCCTCTGGCAATAGAGGGATTCATAGTTGTTTTGCATATTCATTTGCAACCTCTTAACTACCGCTGCAGTAAATGAAAGTATTACTTTACTGCCAAGTAAATTGAAAATCAAATGAAGGAAAGAATGCTCATGAACTAGTATCAATAATAATTAAAAGCTAGAAAATATTGCTGTCATTTGTCAGGTATTATGGTGGACGTTTCTGATTTTTTCTTGAACCCAAATAATTCCTTTTGAATTCTTCAAGAACTGAGCCAGTCTGTGAGTAATAGTAACAAACTGCTCCAATTGCTGTCTAATAAGGAACCATTCTGTGTGTGTGTGTTTTTCCAATGGTTAGGTACATCTGCCTGTGGACACAGCAGCATCTGGCATCCATCCAGTCTACTTCTGCAGTGCTCACTATGTTGAGATGTTGCTGAAAGCTGAGTTGCCACTTGTTTTTTCTGCTTTCCATATGTCTGGATTTACATCATCACAGGTAATAAGAAAAAATAGCCGGAGGGATTGTCTTAAATGTACCACTGAAAAAGACTTTTACATAACTGTAACCAAAGTGATACCCTTTTCAGTAATGTAATCCTATAATGTTACTGAATTCAAAGGACCTTACTCTTTTTTAATAGTAATTTTATTAAAAAATACATTTGCAATGATAAAATCTAATACAAACTAAAAACAAAAATAAAAAGTAGAAAGTGCAGAAAAAAATTGAAAAGAAAGAATAAGAATATAGTAAATACAAAAAGTAATGATATACAGAAATGACAAAAACATATATAAAATACATCATATTCTTCCCATATTCCATCTCTTACCTATGAACCAATCCTTAAAACTTAATTTCAGTCCTGATTATCAAATGTCCATTCAGAATTACTAAAAATAAAAAATACCTATTTTAGCCTTGATCAAATAAACTGACTTCATATTACTTCTTTTAACAATCTTGGTCTTTAGTCTCTTCAAATAATTTCCTAGAACAGTGATGGCTAACCTTTTTAGACTCCTGTGCTGGAAATTGCGCTCACGCTAGCGTGCCAGCACCCAGAAGGCAATATGCGTGGGGGGGGGGGCACATGCCCCCTGTGCATGCTCACACGTCTTCCGCACCCCTGCCTCTCATGCATGTGTGCCAGATAACCGACAATCAGCTGTTAGGCAGGCAGTGTGCGTACATGCGCAGTAGGCCTGCTCTGGGTGAGGGCTTGCATGCCAGCAGTAATGGCTCTGCGTGCCACTTCGGGCATGCATGCCATAGGTTTGTCATCACAGTCCTAGAACGTGATTTCTTTTCATTTTTTCTTCGTCCCTTCTCACAAAATTATTCAAAGCATTAATAAGCCTCTCTTGTAAATCCAAAATTACCCAGGTCCTCTTTTGATATATTACTTGTATCTATTTTTACATACAGGTTTTAGGTATGAAAGCATCAACTGATTTCTTTTGTATATTCAGTGTAGCATTTTTTGTCATATGATTCTTGTAACCTGTCATCCTTAAATACATTTTCAGATCAGGCTCAGTCTGATCTGATAAAATTTGTTCTTCTTCCATAGCTTATTTTAAATGCAGTCTATCTAGTAGAGGCAACTTCTCAGTCCATTTTCAAAAATATCCTTCAATTTATCCAGTGTTAAAATATTTTGCTTTCTTCTGAATTAGTAAGTCAAATTTAACTGTTCTCCTTTTATTGTAATCTTTAGTTTCTAATTCTCTGTAGTGGAAAAATCCCATCCTATCATGTTATTTTTAAAGTATTCAAAACAAAAACATGTTTCCACAAAAAGGATTCTTATAATTAATTCCAAAATCTTATTTCAAATCCACTTGGACTCTTACAGTCCATTTGGTATCTTTCCAAAATGAAATTTGTTTTGTTATTTATTCCCAAAGAAAAAAAGAATTAAGTCCTTAAACTTGTAGCTAAACTTCTTTTATTAAGATAGAAGAAAACTTAGCCTGCTATAGCAATAGCATTTAGACTAATATACCGCCCCAGTGTACTTTACAGTACCCTGGGCGGTTTACAATGTCATCATATTGCCCCCAACAATCTGGGTCCTCATTATACTGACCTTGGAAGGATTGAAGGCTGAATCAAACGTGAGCCACTCAGGACCGAACTCTTGGCTATGGGCAGAATTAGCTTACAATACTGTGCCACCACGGCTATAAAATATGTTGATCCAAAAAGTTCCTACTAATTGAAAAACAGTTTACAAGCAATTTCTGAAAATGATAGGAGTAGGAAATATTCTAACTACAGTCAGTACTTTTCAGAGGATACTGAGTTCCAATACGACCTACTCCTATCATTTTCAGAAATGACAGCATTTGAGATTGCCCAAAAGTGCCCCAGACAGTTGTTCCCTGTGAGGAGAATAGCAGTCTCCTGTGGGTTTAAACTCTGGGAGACTGCTATTCTCACAAAGAGCAACTGTCTGGAGCACTTGTGGGCAATCTCAGATCCTCTCCTTGTCTGGAGAAGAATTACAAAGAGCTGGTCTCTTTGTGGTTCTTCATTCAGCTGCAGTCATCAGATCCACTTTTAACAGAACTGTCATCGTTTCTCCATTTCTTTCTCAGAACTGTCATAAGAGCTTACTTTCAAGTAAGTAAGTTTCAGTTTTAGAGCTGAAATCACTCTATGCCTGAGATTGTAGGGGAACCTGAGCTGGAAATTATAAAGAAAAGAACAGTTATACAATAATTTGCCAAATTCTTAAATATACATGTGGGCACGGTATAAAATAAGCTTATTTCTGGTGAGTAATCAGCAGGGAAATCCAACTGTGAGCCTCCAAAGTAGCATTCTTTTGCTTGCTTGAAAATTAAATATGTATCATAGCTGAGGTTTTTTTTTTTTTGTAATGTTTTGCTATTACAAAGCGGCAGGCAAAATTAATCTGCATTGTTTCAATCTCCCTTTCTCTGCATCCTTCTAATATATTCATATCTTGGTCTATGCCCATCTCAGCCCTAAAATGTCTTGCAGAATATATCCTATGAACTCACTATACTATTTATATACAGAATGATTAGTTATACTGAGATGCAAGTATGCATGATTAACGTTATCAGGGAAATTAATTATGGTCTAAAATTGAGTTAAATCAATATTAGGTTCCTTGACAACAAATATATTTGTCACAGTGTCATTTATTCTTATGGGTTGGTTTTTTTCCTTTCCCTTTTTGGTAAACCACTCTTAACTCAAAATTTATCTGAAAGTTTCTTTCTGCAGTCAAATTAAAGTATTACTTTTGGCTGTGAATATGTAAGGCTGATTAGCCAAACAGCAATAGGTAAAGGAAACGTATTAGAGTTTAAATATGGAAAAGAACAATTATTAAATGTGTTCTTTTTAAATTAGTTTATAAGCAGCTGTTTGTCAGATTTATTGAAAAAGTATAGAACTTCATTCTTCATTGAATGAAACACATGTTAAACTGATACAAATGCTATTATAAAGATTCCAAACAAATAATGTTAGCATAATGTAGAAGTTTTTTGTTCTAGCTATGCTTTAAAGGGATAGTAACTGGTTTTTATGTTAAGGTCTGTGTTTGACAGAAGGGAAGGATGCCGAAAATTGTAATGCTGTTGTGGTTCATCGACTGCCAATAGAGATGGCAGATGAGTCAGAGGAGATGGAGGGGGTGCCTGGGTTACCATTGGAGCCGGCAGAAAGCTCTGAGGAGCAGGAGGTCTCAGAACCACTGCAGAGCCAGGCCCATCTACTCAGACTCAGGCAGAGAGACAGCTGTTTTCGGGGCCTGAGCTGAGCAAGGGGGAAGAACAGCTGGGCCCTGTCCCAGATGTGCATATGCGCAGAGAAGTGTGGAGAGGAGAGCAAGGTAGGACTGAGTGCCAGGGCCAGCTATCCAGGAAAAGAAGGAGATGTTAACAAGCCCTTCCCTGGCTGGCATATAAGGAGGAGGGGTGTGGGAGGCGTGGTTGCAGGAGACATCCAATCATGCTCCAGAAGAGTTCCCTCTGGTGGATTCCTTGCCAGGATTTCCTTGCCACTAACCAGGTTGATCAGGGCTTTTTGTATTGGGATTGAAATTCTAATTGAGGCTCTTTGCGGGGAATTCAGAGACTGCTATGGCTTGTGAATCACCTACAGATGTGTGACCTGGACCTTTGTCAGTGAAAGTCATGTATTCCTGCCTTTCTAAATAAAAAGGGGTTTCTCCTCACGAGTAGGCTCTTGAGTGGGGTTCGTGAAGGCTGGGTTAGAACAGATGCAAATGTCCATGCAAGCCTGCTCAATGGCATAGGAATCTGTGTGGACAACAATAAATGCAAATCACAGAAGATGTGCCTCCTACCTCTGAACATTATAGGATGGCTATTATAGGGAGCTGTGCCTTCTCTTAAATGTAATGGGACAACATAGATCCTACCTGAGCCTTTAGATCTACCTTCTCATCTACCTTCCTTCAAAACTTCCTCTTAGGACCTACTTGGTCCCTCCCTTCAGTCATTACTAAGGCTTTTCTGAGGAAAAAAAAATACACACACACATATATTTTCATTATTTATTTATTTGATTTTTTATCCTGGTTTTATTACTTTAAAAGTAACTCAAGGTGAATATATACTATATACTTCCTTCTCCAATCAATAAAGGAACATGAATTCTTTTCTTTACATTCCTGATGCCTTGTTCTCTCTCTCACCTCCAGAAAAATGGGGGTGGGGAGGATAACCTACAAGAGAGAGTGAGGAAAGGTGGTATTTAAACAAATTACTGTCAGTAGAGATATGGCCAGTAGGGAAAAAATATTTCTTTTGGAAAGAACCTATTCTTGACTAAAAAAGAGTAAAAATACTTTGTCGCTATAGTTGGATTAGATTAGAATGATCCACATACGGAATGTTTAAATAAAACTTAAATGAATAGTAGATTACTGAATTGGTCAGAAATGTTAAACTTGTACTATCATAAAATACGATGAAGATAATGACGATGATGGGTTTTTTTAATTATTGTTCTAGATCTGTCAGCAGTGGCTCACACAGTGTTTCTGGAATTATATGGACTGGAGAGAGATTTGTCATTATATTGCTATTTGTATTTTCCTTGGCCCAGATTACCAGATATATATGTGCATATCTGTGTTCAAACATCTACAACAAGAAATCCTTCAACATACCCAGGCTCAGGATCTTCAAGTTTTTCTTAAAGTAATCACTTCTTTATCTTTTTGCAGGACTTGGACAGTCTTTTGGGGGATTGGTGTCCATCCATGGCTGGGAGGGTTCTGTGGTGGAAAATGGCTGAGTTGATGTTACAGTAGTTTTTTTCCTCAGTAGATTAAGGAAAGCACTTTTTAAAATATTATTTGGATTAACATCTTACAAATGTTTTTGTTTTTTATTCCTTTAAACTGGGAAGCTATTGTTCGGTTGCTGTCTTTGGCAATCAGGCCAGAGGGGGACTTCAAAAGGCTTGTGAAAAACAGGATGCCCAATTCTCTTTTTATGTTTTACAAGACTTTGAAATTAGTCATTCAGAGACATCAAAAGCAAATGTTTTATAATGGTCATTTTCAGCTGGTTAATTTTTACTTATATGTGTCTCTATTGACAAAAAGAAACATATCAGTGCTTTACAGAAAAAAGTGTATAAGATATCTATATCACGTGGCACAGATTCCTGTTAGTTTATTTTACCAGGAATGAGCTATAGATCCAAAAGCCAAACATTGTGACTGACAGATATTGAATCAAATTATCTCCTTGTGGAATTTTGGCTGACTCCATTAGAAATAAAACATTGGATTAAATAAATATTTGAAATTCTGACCCAACAAAACAACTTTTAATGTTCCTAATGCATTTAGACCGTGCATCAACTATGCAAAGAGAGGGTGTGGTACAGAACTGATAGAATTTTTGTCATCTTTTTTGTAAAGAGCTCAACCACTTGTATGGGTATGGGGGTGTGTGGAAGTGGAGGTATTGGTCTGTTTATTGAAGAAACAAAATCACAGGTCAAACACTTTTTAAAAAATAACTGGGTTAAAAAAAATTGGAAAAATATTTTTTTTTAAAATGGAAAGTTACGTTTGTATTTATGCTGAGTATACAGTATGAGTCTGTATACATATAAATGTATGCATGGACGTATGAAGAAATATCAATATCCCTGTTCAGAATTTTTGCCCAGTTTGATGATTGTGGCTAACCAGTAGGGCTGTCTCAAGAAATTAGATAGAATTGGACACTTGGTTAGTACTCATAGTCTAAGACAGCAGCAAACATCTTCTATAGGGTTGCCAAGCCATTGGTTTCAATACTGAGCATTGCTTTAAGGGTGACTTTACCCTTTGTTCAATAACTTTATCAAGAATGTAATTTGTACAGATGGAAGTTATATAAAGAAAAAAAGTTGTTTGGGTGGGGAAGAGATGATTTCTCTCATACAAACTACATGGTCCATCCTTGAATGCATTCTCCTCCCCCTTCCTGGAATGCACTGATCTAAGAATTTCCCAGCTGATTTTCCTGTTTTTTTCCATAAATTCATGCATCTATAGAAAATAATTTCATTGAGCAGGAAGTGGTTTGTCACCCTGAAATAGATTGGACAGTTTTGTATACCCCTGCTTGTAAAAAAAAACTGGCTTTCGGATTTTTTTTCATGTTACAACCGAAGGTATTTGAAACTGGAATAAAGGCTGTTAATGGGAAGATTTCATGGAAATCTGTGCATCTGGTTAAGAATTTTCAAAACATCTGGTGAACACGTTGAAAAAAAATATGGTCAGGCATTTTGATCATATTAGAAATAGTGAACCAGCCAAGAGGAATTCTCTTACCTGAGGACTTTTCTTGAGCTCATGTATTGTCATCAGATGATATCAGGATTGAACAGAGATTTCCTGTTCCATAGTTCATTCTGCTGTGTCAATATCAGCTCAAGAAAGAAATATGAGAGGAAATACTAATTTGTAGGACTATTGTCTTACCAAGAGCTTTTTGAAAATTCTGCTTAAGTGCTGACCTATTCTAGAGAAGAAGTCAATATATAATTTTGATTGTTAATTTAGGTAGTATATTTTTTCCTAATCTATTTTCTCTCCTCTCCTCTTCTGAAAATCAGTTTCCTAATGTGGGATTCATTTTTGTCTTTTATCTTTTATTATCTTTTAATTAAATATAAAACTAAAACTCCAAGCTTGACTTTTGTGTGTGAAAAATAAATGACTTTTGACATTTTTGATTAGTCCAATTTGATATCCAGTATATGGTAATATTTTTAAAATAAGCAAAATCAAATTAATTGTTAAAGCACATTATCAAGCCTCTGTCTATCTGTAACAGCCTTTTCATATGAGTGCCCAAGTATTCTATTAATTTGGTATCTTTGACATTAATTTTAAAATACAGTGGCAGAATTTATAGTTCTCATCATGTAATAGGTGACAACATACCAGAGCAACTCTCCTTATGTTAACATCTGATGACAAGCTGTCAAGATTTCATAGTTCTTAAGATACAGAGGCCAAATTATAGGTCAAAACTTGCAATATCTTGCAAAGCTCCCATTAAAACGTATGGAACACAACTGGGAGGAGCAATTTTTATAATCTGTAAGAGAAAAGTATTTGAAGAAAAAGCATAGAATCCTGATTTAATTGACTTGGTAGGGTTGACAAGTCAAATCCACAACATACTGATTCCAGCTGAGGCTTAATTAAACCACTCTGGATTTAGCTGGTATATGGGATTACATTCTTAAGAATATAATATTTGTATTAAAATAAACAATGCTAACTATATAAAAACAAACCAATGCATCATTAAAATGGCTATTTAATTAGCTCTAGCTCTGGATAAGAACTGGTTGCAAATGAGCTTGTCTATCACTATCTTAAGCCACTCAGCCATCTTCCATTTTAATGGAATTCAGATGAGCATTGTAACAAAAGAACATCTGTATCTATGTTGGTGATTCCATTATACCTTGGTTTTGCATACAGATTTCCCATGCCTTATTGAAGCAAGTGACTGCAAACCTGTCAGATAACAGGAATATTAATTGCTTTATGATTTTAGGGAACAAAAACTTTCAGAAAGAAAAATAATCCTGCTTTACCTATTATACCACCGTTTCTAAGTTTTACCTATTATGCTATTGATTCGAATCCTTATTCCTTATTGGAAGTCTTGCATAGTTTCCCCCCCACTCTCTCTCCCTCCCTCTCCCTCTCCCTCCCTTTCTCTTCTATAGGACCAAAAGGTCTAGCTTTGTCTGTTGATATAATGTACATTTAGCATGTTAAACTTTCCAAAGTACCAGGTAAATATTAATAGGAAAAAATAAAATTAGCTAGTTCTGAAAAATAGAATTCCTTAACTTAATAACACATTATGTGGTTTTTGTTTTTTCCCTCTGCTAACAATACTTTTCTTCTGTACAATGTGCAGGAAGAAGCACTCCATGGATTTCAGGTGAATAATTATGTTGAGTATATGGAAAGCTTGGCTCAGACCTACAGACCAATTCTATTAAGAGACATGAGGAATATTGGAGTGCCAAGCACGTAGATCAAGCAGATGAGCACATCATTTCAAATTTTGCTTATGTACTTTAAGGGGACAGTGATTGTTTTATTTCCTTCTCCATAAAAAAATGTATTCATTGTAGCTTTCCTTGCAGCCAAATCAATAAGGTTTTTCAGCATACCATTTTCACAAGACAACATCCTCTAAATTGGATCATCTGAAAAATAATGTGTTTTTTTAGCCAGGTGTCATAGTTTGTTTACACTTGGTTTCAGAAATTAGTTTTGAATTACTTAAATGTTCTGTTTATATTTTCCAAGAAGCAGTGTCTACACTATTAAACTTTGCTTCCTAACATTTCTAAATTGCTGAAGGTTCAGTAGTAAGGAACAAGAATGTGCACATAACTTCTGAGCGCTGCAAAAATTAGCTTGGGAGGTCAGAAAATAAAATATAGTTACAGGTCCTGAGTGGTCCAGTTTGAAGTGTAATGAAAGATTTGTTATTGGTTTTTGCTGTAAATATTTTTTAAAAAATAGTAGTGTATACTCTAAAGCATTTACTTGAAGTTGTAGAAGGGAGTAAATTAACACTTCTGTAGATTTGTTAATACAAATGTAGATTTTATTCTGTTTTATTGAAACTAAATGTAAAAAAATAAAACTTTGGGAACATACATGAATATTGATAACATGTTTATTTGATCTTGAGTTATGCTCTCAACAGATCTGTTGAGAATCATTATTGTTGGAAGAAAAATCCATCTGGTTCAGTTCCAAGCTGGGAGAAAGGCACCGGAGATAAAATGGAGGCTGGAGGCTGATTGGAAAGAAAGGTTCTCTTCATTGATGAAGCAGAACCACCAACCACATGTGATTCTGGGCAGCTGACAAAATGGAGTTTAGAGTGGGTGGGTTTTTATAACTTCTGGATTCCTATGGGGGTCATGTAGGGGTCATAACTGGCTCTATAGGCAAAAGAGGAAATGCAAATCCTAGCTGTTTGAGCTAATTTTATCAACCTTTTGTTTGTTGCTTTTCTGAGTTTCTGTTTTAACCCAGACTTTCTGAATGGATTATCAAATCTGCATTTCTAAAAGCTGGCCTCCTCAGTTTCTCCTTGGGGCAGGGAAACGGGGGCTGGTTTTTGCCTCCCTTAAGATTTTTTTTTTTCATTTCTCCTTTGGGGGATATTCTATCCTGCCTTTTTAATATTTCTCAGAATATTTCATTCTTGGGGTTGGAAGTCCTTGGAAGAAGTTAACTTCTTTGTTTTCCCATCCTCTCCAGATTGAGTGAGAAGTTTCAGATGAGTTCTTTTCTGAACCCGAAGTTGTTTATAAGGAGCAATTAACTAAAGCAAAACCCTAGGTAGATTCTACAGGCAGTCTCAGGGCAAAGTCTTTGGACTGTACAAAATATACTTGACTCAGATCCCCTAGATCGGGTCGCCAACCTTTTGGACCTCAGGGACCACCAAACTCATAATTTTAAATCCCATGGACCAGAGACCCTGGGAAAATCCCCCCAAAAGTCTGCAGGACTGTTTTCCTATTGGTCGATCATTCTTTATTTGGGATCACAGGATACTGTCTCCAGTTCTGTTCTCAGGGGGAGAGAGAGAGACTTGGTTTCATGCAAGGAAAGCAACAGAAGCAGCAGAAGTCTGTCTTTCCCCCAAACTCCACCAGAAATTAGTCTTTGTGAGATTTGTCACACCGGCGCAGTCTCTTGGAGCAGGATGCCTTGCACAGTCCCAAAGACTCATTTCTGGTGGAGTTTGGGGAAGAGAAAGAAAGACTTCTGCTGCTTTCCTTGTGTGCAGCCAAAAGCAGAAGAAGAAAGAAACAGAAAGAAGCAGCCCAATGGCCAGATGAGGCGCATGGGGTGAGTGGGGCTCCTCCATCCTTTCCCCCCTCCGCTCACTACCTTATGTTGTTCATAATGCGAGCAACGCAAGCCTTGTGTTCCCATGGGCCATGTGGGCGGCGCAGCCTTGTATTCCCATGCAGCCTGGATTAATTGTTTTGGGGGTGACATCTCTCTGGACCACCGAAAAATTTTTGTGGACCACCAGTGGTCCCTGGCCCACTGCTGGTGACTACTGCCCTAGGTTATCATATGAGGCTATAGTTGCACAGAAGACCTAGCTTTTGAAAGCAGTGGTTCACAATTCCAATGGATGACAAGGTCCAGAAAAAAACAAAAGGCATCAATCTGCTTTGTATCAATTCCTTATCAGAGATACCATTGACCATCAAGAGTTACTGAGTGTGATTCTTTTATCCTAATTTACCTGGGTTTGGCAAGCAATCTTCAGTCCATTTTGGATTGAATTAATCATATCCATTACTTTCAATTTATGCAGCTCTAATGATAAAAAAGTGCCAGATAATATTTGTCAACCCATCAATTATGCTGTCATCTTGCAACATGAGTGATTATTGCACAGACCCCTGGATGCTTTTTCCCTCCTTTAATAGGGAGATTGGCTAGAGGAGGTGGTCTGTAGTAGCTTTACAATGTGGTGGGAAATAAGTCAAATGCAGTTATGTGACAGTTCGTGACTTCATTGCTTAGTGATAGAGTTGTGAATCCCAATTGAGGTCAGTAGGTGAGAACCTCCAGTACATTAGGAAGTCAAAAGAAAACCAAAATCCTATCAAGTTTGCCCTACTTTTTATTCTGTAATCACTAGATTTTGAGTATGAATCGGAGGAAATGTTATCTTTTCTCAATATTTCAAAATTTAATAGAAGTTGCATATATATATAAGAAGATGCCACTATTCCTGTCTCATGCTTACTGAAGCAGATATTCTATGACTATCTTGACTATCTGATTCTTAACTTGAGATCTCCCTAATGTTCCTTGAGATTACCCAAATGACTCCAGCAGAAATTCTTATCTCAAAACCCTCTAGTGATTTGTCTATGTACCATTAATTTTCTTGGGAATCTGTGTATCAGATTCCTCCCAAATAAATATACTATACTAAATTATATATAGTATAAACATACCTATATATTTCTGACAAGACAAATATGTATCGCAGAGTGATGCAAAGGCTTTCAGCTACAGCCTCTTGAACAGCTAATTTGCGCCTAGAAATAATGCTCATGTTAGGAATGATAGTCACCTAACAGTTGGGTTGGCAATATATAAACCAGGATAGTAATTTAATACTGTATCTTTAAGGGAATGCTGTAAGTGTGATTGGCTGAGGGTCCTCCAATGGCCATAAGATGGAGCCAGAAACCTGGTTTCTTTCTCCCTGCATTTCCTGTTTTGCCGTATTGCCTGATTGTCGTTCTGCTTGGATTGCTGTGAGTCTTGCAACTGTTAGCAAACTCTGTTTACTGAACTCTGTTTATGATACTTGACTTCGTTTTTGGATTATCCCTGGACCGATACTAACTGCTTTAACCATGTATGATTTGGATTGTTTGTTGGACTTTGTTTACCCGTTTACTGGAAGTAAAACCTACATTTTACTAGTGTATCTGTATGCTGGTCATGTGTTATTCAACATCACTCTCACTACGTTTCCCTGAGTACACTAACAGGGAATACCTCAACTGCTCAGAAGATTTTTCATTCCTAATTGCTGCTTTCTTTTTACTTTTTGCCAGAGGCTGATCTGTAAGTAAACTATATTTGTGGATTGTCAGCCTCCATGCCATGACTAAGATACTACCCACACACTTGATCTTAGCTAAAGACTGAGAAGCATTTAAGAAGTCAGTGTGCTTTGAATATTTAAAAAAGAAGGCTTACAGTTGTAAACATATTTTTATGTACAAAACCAGGGCTGTCAAACTCTCGGCCTGAGGGCCGGACTTGTCATGCCCGGTTTAGCAAAGGGGAAAGTCACAATACATCATGTGATGATGCCGTGACAACATGAATTTGACACTGATTCAATTTTTTTTATTACCAGTTCTGTGGCCATGGCTTGGTGGGCATGGTGTGGCTTGGTGGGTGTGGCTTGGTGGGCCTGGCAGGGGAAGGATACTGTAAAATCTCCATTTCCACCCCACTCGTGGGGAAGGATACTGCAAAATCCCATTCCCTCCCAACCCCACTAACCTGCTTTCTACGTCCGTTCTCCTGTGCGGGACAACAAAAGAAGACTCAGCCAATCAGCTGGGACTCGGGAGGCAGAGAATAGATGGGATTGGGGCCAGTCAGAGGTCGTATTTGCTGGTTCTCTGAACTACTCAAATTTTCTGCTTACCAGTTCTCCAGAACTGGTCAGAACCTGCTGAATACCACCTCTGCCCTGTACTACGCAATCATTTACTGCGTACCCTTGAATGAGACTTCCAAAGCATTTAAGGACCCAAGCCATAGCTATTCTGAAAGGAGAATGGTAAGGAAAAAAAACCCCAGCTTTTATTTACCTAGAAGTGGTTTTGAAGATTCTCACCTAGTAATAAACCTAAAGCAAAGGAGTCAATGCTTTTGAAGAAAGAAACAGCAGTAGAATACAACCTGGAAGCAAGAAAAAAGGAAAGGGACATTCTATTTTGTTTCTGTTTTTAATATCTATTGTAGCACTGCCTTCAAATATATTTTGCAACACTGTTAAATTTGCAGTCTGCGGTGGTACACATGCATTCAAAATACCTAATTTAATGTGCTAACAAAAAAAACATAGCCTGTTTTAGAGGAAGAGTTTTCCCAGCATTTAAATTCAACATTGATTTAGAAAGCTCAAGGTGTTCAATATTTTTAACAGCATCTAGTTTTAAAATTTAATTCTGTGTGGAACCTGACTTGCTGATATCTTATATTTGTTCTTTGTGTTAGTTCAGTGGTTGCCAACTGGTGGGCCGTGGCCCACTGTTGGGCCGTGAGAAAATTTTGGTGGGCTGCAGAGAAATCTCATCCCCAGAGCACCACCACAAAAGCAATTAATCCAGGCTGTGCAGAAACACAAGGCTGCGCTGCCCACATGGCGGCCTCTCTGCCCACTCACTCCTTACCCAGTAAACTTGCCTGCTCAATTTCTATTTTTCCTTTTTCTAACCATCATCTGTTCTGCTGTGCCGGAAGATTTAGATTAGCTAGGAAGCAGGAAATGGTTGGATTTCTTGCTTTCTAGCTAGTTTTTAGATCTTCGGCTCAGCATAGCTGAACCTCCCTTAGGACTGAACATTTGCTTGCAAGCAAATTCAGTGCAGAGTCATGGCAAGCAAATTTGAGAGACTGAGCTAGCCAATGGCAGATAGATAGATCACTGAATGATTCCGTGAGCAACACAATCTGCCTGCTTTGCCTGATTTTGGGTAAAAGTTGCTCTTTTTTATAAAAAAATTCAATATTTACATGTATGGTGTGTTGTGAGTTAATTTTGTGAGTTTGCTTGCTAGCAAATTTTATGAGTTTGCTTGCAAGCAAATTTTATGTGACAGACTGAGCTAGCCAATGGCAGATAGATAGATCTCTAAATGAATCTTGAATCTGTGAGCAACTCAGTCTGCCTGCTTTGCCTGATTTGGGGTAAAAGTTGCTCTTTTTTAATAAAAAATTCAATATTTATATAAATATTTATAATATTTACATACAAGCCATGCCCAGCCAGTCACATGACCACCAAGCCACACCCACAAATTAGGCCACACCACAGAACCGATTAGTGGTCCCTAGGATCTAAAATTATGAGTTTGGTGGG